GTTGCCCAAGGGATTGAAGATCTGGGGTGACAGAGCCAAGGCCGAAGAACGAAAAGAGATGGATCTGCTACACAGCCGATGTGGCATTGCGCCCTCCAGTTTTAGGCCGAGCGAATGACTAAAGAATCGAGCTCAAGAAGTTCAAGTGTGACACTCTGTTCTGTACAGAAAAAGCGAGACGGGAACCTCAGGCCAGATCCGTTTTAATGGAATACAAACCGACAAGAGTTTATCAGGGCAAGGATGAGACTCGAAGTCCGACAGTTTCGTTTGAAGGTCTAATGTTGTCTATGTGCGTCGATGCCAGTGAATGCCGCGACGTGATGACTTAGGATGTACCCAATGCTTTTATTCAAACAGCATTGCCGCAACCCCAGGATGGTGGTGATAGGGTGATCCTGAAAATTGAAGGCATTCTTGCAGAATTGCTTGTGGAAATCGACCCAGAAACTTACAAGCCATTCCTTGTCTATGAGAAGGCGAGACCTATCCTCTACGTCGTGGTACTGAAGGCACTCTATGGAATGCTCATTGCAAGTTTACTTTGGTACAAGGCATTTCGCAAGGATTTGGAGTCTTTTGGTTTTGTATTCAACCCTTATGATCCTTGTGTTGCCAATAGGATGGTCAATTGCAAGCAACAGACTATCCTTTTCCATGTCGACGATCTCATGTCAAGTCATATGATGGCCAAGGTGAACGACGACTTCCTGGCCTGGCGCAACGAGAAGTATGGTAACTAAGGTGCTGTCAAAGCAACCATAGGACCAACAACGACTACTTAGGGATGACAATTGTTTTTCAGAGCCTGGCAAAAGTCAAATTCGATTATGATTGACTATTTTGACCAAGGTGCTCGAAGATTCCCTGTTTAACTTTGATCATGTTCGTCTGTTCCGAGTGCAGCCCCAGCTGTTTTGTTTTCTGTTGGTGACGGTGACAATCTGACCCTGACACGAAGGATATACTTCCACACGAACACAGCACAAGCTACTCTTGCCTGTAAACGTGCTCGTCCAGACATGCAGACATTGGCTACCGTCCTTTGTACTCGAGTGAACAGCCGAACCAGAACGATGGGGAAAACTTCTCCAAGGCCTCAAGTGTAGTTCAACAGACTTTGAATGACAAGCTCATCCTCCATGCTGACACGTTCGATTATTCGCTGAGTGGGTGAGCCAGATTTGCTGTCATCCCAGACTACAGTCCCATACATGGAGGTGCTCAGTTTCGGCCGCGGTGCACCAATTGCTGTTCTAGAAGCAGAAACTCAAGCTCGCGAAGCAGTACCGACCCGAACTCATTGGACCGACGATGTTATGAGTCCCTTGTTGTGGACCAAGTTATTTCTGGAGGCTCAAGGTGTTGATGTTCAGGAGAACATCCTTTATACAAGACAACAAGAGTGCTACATTCTCGCTGAGAATGGTAAGAGCAGCGCCGGTAAGCGTATCGTGCTCTTAATGTGGTTCTTCTTTATTCACGACCAAGTGAAGCAGGGAAATGTACGAGTGGTGTATTGTCCCACACAGACATGCACGGGGACTTTCTCACGAAGCCCCTCCAAGGTGCCCTATTCCATGCCATCGCGCTTTTATTATGGGCATCCTCCATTTAGTTTAGTTTTAATCGTTCCGTGGCATCATTAGGAACCACGGCAGGAGTTGTGGCCGGTCTAGATATTTAGCGGACCCGGATAAGAAAAAGACCGCACACCGTAGGAATTTAAGAGAAACTGGCATTCTCAGATCCAGACTTCAAAGCGACCAGCCAGAAAGATCACTTTTTCTTCACAGCTCGCCCAAATCAACAAATTAACCTTGATATTACTAGTAGCTGCAGTGTTATTAGACCCAACAACTGCTTTCAGAGAGCCAAAGAAACATCCAACCAAGGCTGAACTAGCGAAGCCTGTGGACAAGAGGAAGCACTTCAACAAGGAGGAGTTTGACAAACTCATGGTGGACTACAAGGATGCATCTTCAGCCAGGCTCAATCGCCCCAATCCAAAGAATCCAATGAGCCCTCCATCCTTTGAGCAATATAAACAGATCATCAGAAAAATCTGGAAGGTACAACTGGCCAAGAAGTTGACTACAGAATCCAGCTTTGACAGCATCTGGCGCCTCCCACTAGATGATCTATTGAAATTTGTGAAGCACAGGAAGCCCATCCAGGATAAGAAGAACTACAAGGAGAAGGTTGATGGAGAGTTCTCTCCCTACATGATCGTGGAGCACTACACAGCAATTGAAGCCCTACTATGGAAACACAGCCATGAGGCTGTTGGCTACAGGTCTGTTGCTTGCAAGCTTCGCCACAGGTATTGCTTTCTACATTTAACCTGTGGCATCCTGCGCTGTGAATCTCTTCACCGTGCTGAGTTTTCTGATTTCTTGGGTTTGTCTGTACCCAAGGACGAAGACAGAGATGTGCACAACACTTTCATAATGGTTAACCAGATTGCCTTGGGCAAGACAGCTACCTATGGCAGGAAACAGTATGGCAGAGCAACGAGACACAAGGATGTGAATGTTTGTCCCATTGCCGCATTTTCCTTTTACGTTCAATACAGACTCCATTGCACCGACGAGTTTGCGAGCTTCACTGTGGATGACTGGGCAAACAACCAAAAGTGGTTTGATGTCAAGGTATTGGCTGATGTTACAGTGGGCGCCAACAGATCGAAGGAAATGGAGAAGGACACTTATGGCAACCACATCCGTGATGTTCTCAAGGAACTGGATCTTAATTGTGCCAAGGTCCTGCATCTTGGAAGAAAGCTTGGTGCATTAACTCTGGAGTTGCTTATGGAAGAGCGCAGCCAAATCCAACAATTAGGTGGTTGGTCTGAGGGCTGTTATGACAAACACTACAGCGGGAAGATGCCCTTATCTCCTGTGAGAAGGATGGCCGGCTATGGTGGAAAGAATGGCTGCCTCTTTTGTCCGCGATCGGTTGTTATGCCTACAAAAGAACTACTGCTTCTTACACCAATTGGCAAGTGGGTGTACAAGGCTTGGGATGGTGTTACAGATCCGGCAAGAGATGGAAAGAATCCCACGGCTATTTCCTTCCTCAAGTTCTTCATTGATCTGAACACCATCTTCTTACAAGACGCAGCAGCAATGATGCTGCTTAATCCACCCACCACAGAGCAACCTACTGGTCGCGAGGAGCACCCACTGTTTACTGAGCTGAATTACGTCTTCAAGACTGACCTGTTTGCGGTGCGTCTTGTTACTTGCTTGTTATGTCATTGCGTCCTCTCATTATCTTACGTACACGAGTTGCTCTGTACTGCTACAGTTACACTGTAGGCATTCAAGGAGAAGATGCGTCTTGCGTTGGTGTCCGCGAAGAATCCAAGAGAGGCTACCATAGAGAAGGTTGTACCCACTCTGACAGCATGGCAAACAGCTAACAACCAAGCTCTATGTCTTTTGGATTCGAAAGTAGACTCTGTATCCAGAGTTGTACAGAATGGGATTGGAAAGCTGGGTGAATACATAGAGGACGCAGAACACAGACAGCTGAAGCGGGACAAACAATTAGGAGCACTGCTAGTGAAGATTGGGAAGTCAATTGGTGCAGCTGGAAAGTCAATCGCTGCAGATGAAGAAGAAGGAGAAGAAACGGAAGAAGAGCAACAACCTACTGGGCTTGAGCTACTGGTACACACTATGGAATTAGATGGCTTGTCTATGCAGGATCCAGCTGGTGAAAATATGGAAACTGGTGAGGAGTCGCTTCAACTTGGTGCTATGGACACAAGTGCTCCTCCGGCTGTCACGCCTCCAACTACACCAACAACAGCCGCTGTACCAAACGACCAGTTCAGGCTGAAGCCTCAACACAGTAACTTGTCAGAATTGATGGACGAGTGGACTGGTAGGCCGGAGGGTAACTCTCCAGATCTTCTTGGCGGAGTGGAAGGGAGAAACCACAAGTTTGGATCCAAGTGGAGGAAACACTTCTCTCCTAAGAACTACTCGAGGAGAAAGCAAGCCATCGAAGGGATCCGTGCCTATGCAAAGAGGGAAAACGTGGACCCTTATGATGCATGTACCATCCTCGACTACAACTACAAAGGCGACTGCAAGACCTCCATTGCAAACTTTGTTGATTACTTAAAGGGAGAGGGGTTGCTACAGAAGATGGCCTCGAGAGGACGCACGAAGAAGTGAAGTTTCGAGTGGCAAAATATTCACTATTTTACTCTACGATTTGTTGGGCTTCCAAGCCCCTTGTTCTGCGACGTCTCCAGCTGTCATGAGCTGGGTCTCAAAGTCTCGAGTCCCCATCATTCTAGCTGTATTCATATTTAATTTAAAACTAGTACCCCTACTTTCAAAGAAGGCTTTCAATTGCTCATGTAGCCGTTGCTTCTCCATTGTCGACTGTTGGTGTGTTGTGTTGTTGTTGCCTCTTGTGTTGACTGTCGACTGTTGACTAGCTAGCCAGATAGTACTGTTGCCGTAAAATTGGTGCGCAAACTTGAACTTTCCAAAAGTGAGAAAATGTCCACTGACGTCAGTCCCGGTTCGCATTTTGAGTACCGGTTGCCACAAGAGGTGCAAAACTTCTCAAAAAGAGGTGCGCACTTCCGGAACGTCATCAGGTGACTCCAGTTTGAATCCTGCTCAGCAGTTTTTCGATTGGCCTATCGAGATTCTAAAGTACTGTTTTTCGACACAGTGAAAGTAGAATCTGACCAAGTCAAACGAGATACTCTGAGTCAAAATCCAACTTTGACTCACTCGACGGCATGCCTGCAAAATCCTTGACTGAACGAACTGTCGAAGGACAGACTACTATTTTACCAACTAAATAAATCGACACGTTGCGAGTTCTTCGGAGCGCCAAGAATCATGAGGACCCGAACACAGGAGACGGCCACCTCGTGGGAGCCGGGACCAGAGGTGAATCCAGGTTACTCTTCTAACTAAAGCCCTAATCAACTTTATCGCGGCTCCAGAGCTCGAGATGGCCTCGTCACTCCACTCCTTGACACGCTGGGAAGTTGGAAGCCCGATCTTCTCGGCAGCAATCATCCATCATACCGTATCTGGTAGCCAAGATGTCACGATCACTCTAATCCCTTCATAATATTCCGATAGAAAATTGCAGATAGCTTTCATTAGAAGCAAGAACAACCATGTCCGCTGTGAAACCCAATCGTCTGTTGCGATTTGTCAACCAAATCAACAACTCGTCGGTTCTCCCTGCTTCCTTCAAGGGTCCCATTCTCTCTCTGGCGTTCAATTCCAACATTAAATATGCGGGCACAACGGGAATTGCCATTCGTCAATGGGACGAGTCTCAAGTGGTGGTGGAATTGAAGAATCGCTGGCGCGTGCAGAATCACTTGCAGGGAATTCATGCCACGGCCATGGCCACCTTGGCAGAATCCGCCACGGGAATGTGTTTTGGCGTGCATGTCCCCGACAGCCATTTGCCCGTCTTGAAGAGCATGCAGGTGAATTTTGTCAAGCGAGCTCAAGGGGATCTCAAAGCCGTGGCGCACATTACCGAAGAGCAAAAAGAACAGATTCGGACCACCGACAAGGGAGCTGCCGTTATTCAAGTACAGGTCACGGACGAAAATGGAAATGAACCCATTCACTGTCAAATGGAATGGGCGTGGACTACCAAAAGGAGACCTGCCAAACCGCAATCAAATACCAAGAGTGAGAAGAAGGAAGGTGGAGAATTGGAGGAAGAACGACGAGCAGCGTGAGCAAAACACCAACTAGACAATCTACTTATATGGTAGAACCAGGGAGGAATCGAGTTATTCAATCTATTTTTGGTTCCGATATGGGGGCCTGATGAATGGATAATCGGAGGATTAGACACAGATCCCTTTTCCAAACCACCAGAGAGTGGCAACAAAGAAAACAAAGAAATCCCAACTCACAACCACTTCTGTCTGGTGTCATTTGGAGAGTTTCTTGTCCATCGTAATTTGCGCTCCTCTTGTCGCCTTTTGTTGCCTGTAAATTGTTGTTTGGTCTCTTGACCGTCATGTTCGTTCAAAAGCTGATCCAACTGACAAGTCGACTTGGACAGTCCACCGGTAGCTAGCTAAGGAGAGGTACTGTACAGGCAGTACTGTACTAGGAATAATTGTCATCTTCCACCAATGGTCCGAAGCGCAGATCATTGAGCCGATGATCATAAGAACGCAACCATTGCTTTACGCGTTCTGTGTTGGATAGAATTTCAATTCTCTTGCAGCTTCCAAGAAGTAATGTTACTAGCTAGTACACTAATTTGACTGCTGCGACCCGATTTGTGTACAGCTCAAAATACTTCGGTACCTGGTACCAGGTACCGATACATAGTAATCCGAAGACCAGTTGAAACATCACAGCCCATCCACACTGAAAGAATCAATGGTGCGTGGTCTGCAATGATGTGATCTAGTTCAAGGGAACTTACTTGAACAAGTGCATAAGACAATCATTTGAATGAATGAAACCCCAATTATGGTAGAGCGGCTTCTTTCTTGAGCTTAAAAGCCAATGCTTTGCTTCAGTGTTAGCAGCATCACATACTGCTGTTACCTAACCTTTGGCCACAAGCTATCTACAGTAGCCAGCTGGGTCTGATACCAGCCAGGAGTTTCATTCATTGTTAATCTTGGTTATGCACATAAATTTATAGTTCCATATTCAATCTAGAAAGCAGGCCAGCTAGGGCCTATCATTTCTGGCTCTTTTGAGCCCGTGGTCTACTATAGGATTGTCTCAATTGCTGAGATCAATCAAAGGATAAGTGGTCTAAAAGAATGGTTCCCCCAATCGTCTTCGATTTCCACGACATGTGCCTTGATTACACTTTCCGGAACAGCACTCACTATCAGCATTGCAAGTAGCTTTGTTGACACCACAAGGAATCGTTGGTGATGGAGTTGGGGACTCTGTTGGAGGCTCAGTTGGAGATGGAGTAGGTGGTTCTGTTGGAGACTCTGTAGGCAAAGGAGTAGGTGGGTCGGTTGGTGCCTCAGTTGGATCCAGTGTGGGTGGATCTGTAGGGGATGGAGTGGGAGGCTCTGTTGGAGGGTCAGTTGGCAATGGAGTGGGAGGCTCTGTTGGAGACTCTGTTGGGGAGGGAGTGGGTGGTTCTGTGGGGGGCTCCGTAGGGGATGGGGTGGGGGCATTGGTGGGCGGATCCGTTGGAGAGGAAGTGGGAGGCCCTGGTGTTGGAGGATCTGTGGGAGGATCCGTAGGCATCTCTGTTGGAGGGTCAGTTGGCGATGGAGTGGGAGGCTCTGTCGGAGACTCAGTTGGGGATGGAGTTGGTGGTTCTGTTGGGGGATTTGTTGGAGGTGCTGTGGGTGGATTTGTGGGAGGGCTTGTTGGAGGTGCTGTGGGTGGATTTGTGGGAGGGCTTGTTGGCGGTTCAGTTGGTGGCGGTGTTGGTTCAGGTCCATTGGGAGCATTCGATGAAATGCAGCTCACTCCAGCCACATAAGAGTTAATGGATGCTTCAGAACTTGAGGAGAAGCTACAGCTACCACAGATTGAACCTTGCATTATCCCAGATTCATGAGGGGCTCCCAAGTTATGGCCACTCTCGTGGGCAAGTAAAATGTCGTTGGTCGTCCATCCACTCATCTCATTGATTCCAGTCCTATAACCACTACCAGCGCAGGCAGCTCCGACATAGGCTTGTCCAACGCACCGGGAGTTATTGGGATAGTCTCTGCCACTGAACAGGTGAACAATGTCACCATTGGGGATGTTGGAATTTCCGTCCCTCAAAAAGCCCCTAAAATCATCAAGGACAGTACCTTCACAAATAGAGTTGCCCAAGCTATCAATGCTAGACCGCATGATATCACCAGAGCAATAGACAAACATGTCTGAAATCACAAGCTGATAGCAGATCTCCTCATAGTGCTGGCTAGCCTGTTGAACAATGGCCGCGGCTGCATTGTAGGCGGCTTGGGCAGAGCCTTCATTTTCGCACATGTAGGAATCAACATAAACACCGATGTCGATGTACTTGAATGAAGCGCAAGAGTTGAGCTGTCGGCTGCCCTGATGTTTGACACCACTGCTTGGGAACGCTCGTCGAAGACTGCGTTGGTCTGGAATGGTTGGAGGGTCTTCAAAGTACAAATCGCCCACACTGTCTTCATCTACATCATCCGCTTCAATCGTAGCATAGTAGTTGTCATGTCCAACGGGAACAACCTTGGCAGATCCCTTCTTGGACACGGAAACCAATGCACCGTTGGAACTCTTGGTGATCACGATGGAATCATCGCTCTTGCTGCGAAAGGCTTTTGGTAAGCCCGAGACGGACGAGCCATCGACCAACAGGCGAGCATGCTTGGCAAACAGTTCCACTTCTTCGAGATCTCCGTCGTCCAAAGAAACCGTCTCACCACCAACGTCTACACTGGGGGCGTCCGCATCGAGTTGCTGAAGAAAAGGATTGGCACCTGGCTTGAGATGGTTGCGTGCTCGAAACTTTTCGAAGACATGGTCAGGAGGTCCATTTCCGTTGCTGCCGGGAGATCCGTTGCTTTTTGCTTGGTAAAGTTCGACGCCTTCATCAAACTGCAAAGCTCGCGGAGCGGCGCTTGCAAATGTCAATGGGCAAGCCAAAGAAGAGAGAATGAATCCAAGTTTCATCGTTTTCATTTGTTTTGTGGTTCAACAATGCTCTTGGTTGCTTTCCTGGAGGCGAGAATTGAAATTGTGAGAGCAGATCGGAATGGAGTTGTGAGTTGTGCCAAAGGTGGTCCAGTAAAATGATCCAGCCACTGGGTGCTCTTGGTTTGAACTATGTTGGACTAACGGTGAACGCAAGGAAGATCCAGTCGCTGGGTTTGGTGTGTGTGAGCTACTACTACTAGTAGTACATATGTGTGTGGTGTGGTACATTTATTTTACGATGCTCTGTTGAGCCGTTTGACGGTTCCCAACAAAAGAGTGCTCCCAAATTCGAGGCCAAAGAGACAGCCAACCACGGAGTTGCTCGGAAGTCTAGCGTGACCTATTTTCGCAATGACTTATGACCGCAAAAACTCCTATTCAGAAAACTCGCGCGAGTAAACAAACAATCCTGAGTACTGAGATGTCTTTGGGTACCGTACGTTGAGTCTTACCGGTCCTCACGGCTTCAACGTACTAGCTAGTAACAGCATACCTAGTGGTACCGTGGTACCGGTACTACAGTACTCCCAGTGGTAGTATTAATACATAATTCTGCTAGCGACTTCCCTGAAAATAAATGACCGAGTCGAACCGCTCAGACTTAAGGTCGCTTGTTGCCATGGTTCTTCTATCTTGAGCCATCTTGTTTGGGTGTTGCTGCAGGGTGCAGGACCGTCCGACGGTTTTCACACAGGATTTATTGAAATTGCCACGACTGATGACCGATTAAAACAATCCCCTAAACAATCCCTTAACTCATCAACTATCCCTTAAACAATCCCTTAAAGAAACAATCCCTTAAAACAATCCTTTAAATCTTGGACTATCCCTTAAACAATCCCTTAACGCCAAATGGAAACACCATAGAACTATCCCCTATTTCTTCAACTATCCCCTAAACAATCCCTTAAATACACAATCCCTTAACAACAAGGATGCTGGGCTCTGGGCTCAGCTTGCTGAACAGATATTGAAAGAGTGTTTTTGAGACCACAACACCTTGACGCATCTTTGCTCCAAGAGTCACAATGCTTAGCGACATGATAGCGAACTCATAGAACAAGACCCATCCAAGATCTTTATTTTGTGATCTCTGCGGCACGCTGGCTGGACAGCTCCTTTCCACCGTTTTTGGCAACATGTTTGTAAAGAAGAGCTCCAAACGATGTGAACAAATGCCTTCTAGCTAGCTAGACTGGCAGGACGGTTCATTGGTCGCTTCTTGGCATGGTAATTGGTCGCCTTTCTGGGTCCAGTGTGCTTGAGCGATTGCTAGCTACGCTCGATGAACAAATTCTTATCGAGTGCTTTTGCTTCCTCGCTGCACGGCAGAAAACGGCAGCATGTCGACCGGGGAAGCCACCATTGACTTGGGGCCACGTTCCTCCAACTCGGGGTAAAAATCGACAAAGAACCGCGGCACCAAGACGAGTCGAGTCAGACCATGATGGGCGAAGAGGCAATTGATATGATTGGAACTTTGCTTCTTGCTTACTAGAAGGCCAAGGTGGAGCTATTTGAAGAAGTTATCATAGCAATGATCCCCTTTTGTCGTCTTGAGTGGGCCGGTTTTCTTCTTGCTGGTTGATCTCCTCATGGTCCAGGTTTTGCGCCCAAGGGCAGCTAAGGTCGGATTATGATTGGCAAGTTCTTCTAAAGAAGTAGAAGTGCCTGCCTGCAGTCGTGATGGTCTGCCTGGATTTGGGCTTGGTTCGAACACAAGGCCTCCCAGCACCACTGGAGCGTTGCCTTCAAAGCCTTTTTGCCATCGTGGCTTCCATCGCAAGCTAACCATCAAGGGCTCCGGTCAGCCTTCTAGCCCACTCATAGAGAATTCGTTAGGAAATCTATACTCATTCCTGCTGCATCATCTATGCTCATCAAAGCCTAGTAGGGGCAGGGGCATGTTGTGGGCCCCTAGGTGGCCTACACGCAGTTGCTGGTGTGGGTGGCTCAGCTAACAGTTGAATTTCCCGTGGAGTAGGCTCAGGTCAGTTGAAGAATGCAGAACCTCCAGCAATGTAATTTAGTTGGAACTTGTCATTGGTGATCCATCCACTGGTCGCCTTGGTTCCAGTCCTGCAACCACTGCCAACACAGGCAGCACCAACAAACAGCTGTCCTACCCACCGGGAGATACCGTATTGCTTGGGATGGCTCTTGCCATTGGGGTTGTTGGGATTTCAGTCCCCAAGAAGGCTTTGAAGTCATCAAGGACAGTGCCTTCACAATATTGTCGCCCAAGCCTCAATAATGGGCCATATGATATCATCAGAGCAATGGCTCCACAGCCAGCAAAGGAAAGTTTGTGTTCAGAAAAGAAGAAGGAGCAAAGCTTTCGGCGACTGCTGTCAGAGAAGCCGTCGAAGCGCAATCAATTCGAAATGGATCGTTGCCAGCCCCCCCAATCATAGCCAGGCATTGGTGCGTTCAGCCAGGTGCACAGCACCGACAGTTCCCATCCATTTTGGGTGCCTGTGCCACCCCACCATCTTCTTGGCGTTGAGTTGTTGAGTTGGACCCTTCTCCAGTTCGCGGAGTACGGTATTGGTGTCGCTTGTATTACAGTAGGGTGGTCCTTGGCTAAATTTAGAATTTGGACGGCTTTCTTACGAGTACCTTTAGAATACGTATGTGAGTTTGGAGTGAGTTCTCAGTACTGTATGTTTTTACCACCAAAAACACTTTGGCTTCTGTGAAGAACGCTGAAACTTTCGCATGTTCTCGTGTTATTTGTCGTATCGCCTCCAAGATTTATAGCATTCTTTATGTAAAGACATTGATCTAATTCCATGAATTAAGTACTTTACCTTATTGATACCCAAGAACTGCCCACTTCCTGATCGCCGAGTTCCGCCTGCAACAAAGCGCTCACTTCGATGCTTAGTTGTATACTCCTTATTCCTTCACCTTTTGTGAGTGGGGGAATTCTGAGGGGAATGGAGGAATTCCCCAATTCCTCGAAGGAGCAGGAACAAGACTGTCCAGTCATGAACATGACTGGGAGTCATGAATCAGTACTGTTCTACACAAGTCTACATGGAGTCACTAGTGGTTCCTTTCCCCCATTCCCTTTCCCTCTAATGCTTCCTTCTAACCCTGAAGGAATAGTGGAGGAATTCCCGGAGTCGGGGAATTCCTCGAAGGAGTATACAACTAAGCTTCGATGCCAGCTCAAGCACTCACTACTCACTACTCATTACTCTAGTTACTCCAGGTACTGGTACTCGTTGCTGTGAGTGGAGCACCAGCTACCACTTTTTACTGTGCTACATTTAAAAGCTCTACTGCACAGCGGTACATGTACTCACTTGCTTGTACTCTAGTCTAGCTAGCTAGTAGCTAGTAGATGGGGGATGGTGGTCTTTTTGTAAATTGCAATTCTGTATGAAGGGTCCAAATATTTTTGCTGCTCTCACAATCTCACAATGTCATACAAAGAAAGCCTTGCTGAGGCTTAGCAACTGGCTTGCAGTACTGTAGCATGCTCTCAGCATTGTCCATAAACATATGTTCGAAACCTTAAACCCTTTACAGTGTATTTATGCATACTCTGCTCCTTTTAGGTCACACTTCAAAGGTGAAAGAAGACGCTGCTGTACCGGTGTACCGGATCAGAACGTGCCTGCCAACCTGCCAACCTTATGCGGACTCGACTCGACCCGAAGCTGAGAAAGACTTCTTTAGATATGGAGTTGAGGTAATTAACCGAAAAAGAGCGAAAACAAATGAGTCACTACACTGTGTACTCTCTACTAGCCAGAGTACAGTACATCGTACAAGTACATGTACTGGCTACTAGCTAGCTAGCTAGCTAGCTAGCCAAGCCAGACTATGCATGGTAAGATCTCTCCTGCTCGTGACTAAAGTATTCCTTCAAGGAATTGGGGTTTTTAATTTTGCATCGACTGACTCTGATGACTCCACACCGCGAGCCTCCACCAGGAATGGTGTAGACCCAATAAGTCTCGTCTGGATGTCTATGATGAGTAGAGTACTCGTACGTGTGCGTAGTACATACCGGTAGACCGAGCGACCGAGCATCCTGAGAAGGGCTCAAGCATTCGTATTTCGTTTTGGCGCTGGGAATTCTTCTCATCTTTGAATCTGCCACCGCTAGCTTGCTATAGCCATTTCCCACAATCCATGTGCCAAACCTTTGAAAAGACCATTTTCACCCAAGCAGCCTTTCCAGCTACTCCTTTTCTTCCTTTCAAGCTTCTTCCAACATGACGGAACAGTTCACGAACGAGATGGACGCGGATGCAAGCATCTCGTGCTCGTTCTCCAGCAGCGAAGAGATTCAGAAGCATTCAATGAACGTGGAAAAGACAACTAAAAAGACCAAGCTCGTGGCGTTTTTGGTTGTTTTGGTGGGGGCAATCGCTAGTGGCAGCTTCCTTTACATTGGCATTACCAACTCCAAGCATGACGTCGAAGACAACTTTGAACGACGGGCCAGTGACATGGCAAAGGAGATAGATGGGGCATGGGCCGACTACGATTCTTCGGCCTTGTGGATCCACGAGTCCTGTCGCAATTGGAGGACCAGCAACTTTACTCGTGAAGACTTTGAAGTTCTCTACAACTATCTCATTTCGGGTGGTTTGGAGTTTTTTGCCGCAGAGTGGGTGCCAAATATCACCCATGCAGAGCGTCCTGCGATCGAAGCGGAAGGCAAAGTGGGCTGGGCAGGAGTCGAGGGCATAAACTTCACTGGACTTGTTGGTCAAGAACCCGACCCTGATCATCCTGGGGAGCTCATGATGGCTCCCCGCTCCAAGCAGGACTGGTACTTCCCAGTTGTTTGGGGTGAACCCAAGAGTAACATTGGTGCTGCCGCTGGATACGACCTCTTCTCGCCTCCCTGGGAACGTCCTTCGATCTTGAAGGCTGTGGACACTTGGAGCCCTGCCTTAACCGGAAGATTCCGGCTTGTCCAGCAAACTGCTGAAGCAGGGTACAGCGTCGTTTTGTATCATCCTGGCACCCCTCTCCCTGACAAGTTTGAGGCCAGATCACGAGATATGTCAACGATGGTGATCAACATCAAGTCTCTCTTGATGCGAGCAGCGCGCTACCAGCGTGTGAGCCAGGCTGCATACCTCTTCGACATAACTTTGTCTTCCGTCGATGAAGAGGCTTTGCCGGAGTTCCTGTCAGGTATTGAGATCCGGGTCTCGGACGAGAAAGGGGATGAGAAGGAAGTCAGTGTTTACCAAGAAACCGATTATGCCTCACTGCAGAATTCAGAACTGTACTTTGAAAGGGACTTGCGCATAGGTGGAAGAGTTTGGAAGATTGTTATATTGCCAGTTGGAGCGGCTTATGACGCAGACTACGTTGTAGTTGTGGTCTGTGGTGTCCTCATCTTTTTGGCATCTGTGCTGCTCGCAATTTGGATGCTCCACAACATGCAGAGATCCATTGAAATGAATAGAATCATCACCCAGGCAGCTGCAGAAGCTTCAATTGTTACCAATCTCTTCCCACCAAATGTGCGCAAACGCATGATTGAAGATGCTGAAACCAAGCAAAAGGCTCTAAGGGCTACCAAGTCAAAAGACGGTGTCCGCAACCGGAATACACTACCTAGTTCCACGATCTTCAGGAACACCCTAACCAGTGAAGGCGTCTTTGGCAGCAAGCCCATTGCTGAGCTGCATCCTTACACCACAGTCATGTTAGTGATGCTGTGGGGATTGCCTTGTAGCTGTGTCATCTTTTCATCAGTTTACAATCTCACACGTCTTCATTCTCTGTGCTGGTCAGGGTGGCCGACCTTGTGGGCTTCACAGCATGGTAAGTGGTCTTCTGATCGACCTGCCCCCCCCTTCCTTCCATCTGGAAAATGTGGGCTAACATTCCACACAAATCAACAGGGCGTCAGTTCGTGAGCCATCACAAGGTAGGTCACAATTGGCCACTTAGTTACGATTTGCTCGTCTGCAGCAGTATACTTACACACAGTTGCCGTCACAGTTTTCACCTTGTTGGAACTCATCTTTCACCACTGGGATCTAATTGCAGCCCGCCGAAGGGTATACAAGGTAGGCCACAATGTACACAACCACGGAGACCATGGTGAACTTTCTCTGATCAGCTACCTCCTTCCTTTTGTTGTAACAGGTTGAAACTGGTGAGTTTTTTATGATGAGAGTTCATACCCAACGACCATGCATCTCACTGAGTTTCTTTGCTTTGCTAACACTTGCCTAGTGGGGGATTCTTATGTTGCTGTTGCAGGGCTCCCATCCCCTCGCTCAGACCATGCCAGTGCAATGTCACGTTTTGCTGCAGACTGTAGGGCACAGATGCACAAGACCTGCAAAGCCCTGGAAAAGACTTTGGGCCCTGAAACTGGAGATATTGGTAAGCTTTTCCTTGTGGATTTTGTCTAGCATAATGAGATGGCACATCTAACAGCTCACCTTCCTTGCAATAGGTGCACGCTTTGGGCTTCACTCTGGGCAGTGTGTAGCAGGCGTGTTGCGCGGTGAGAGAGGCAGGTTTCAGATATTTGGGGATACCATAAACATGGCTGCTCGGATGGAATCGACTGGGGTAAGTGGCTTTCATAAGTGTGAAGGTCCAGTTACAACTCCTCAAACCATGTAAAGGCACTCACTGGGTAGGAGTGCTCCATAGGTTCGGGATGAGATTCAACTTAGTGCTGAAACAGCTGAACTATTAACCTCAGAAGGACATGAGAAATGGCTTGTACCAAGAAAAGACCAGGTGATGGTTAAGGGAATTGGTCATATGCAGACTTTCTTCCTCAACTTGAAGAATGACAGAACATTTTCAGGGGAGACAGAAAGAACCAAGGATGATATCGCCATGTTCTCAAGTTCTGAGTTGAATGTTGAGTGCAGTAAGATTCAAAGGCTTGTTGATTGGAACTCTGAAGTTCTGGGAAACTTGCTTCGTAGCATCTTGGCTAGACGGGAAGGGATGCAAAAGGATCAAAACCATTCCAATCTCTCTCCAATCCCTCTTACCACCAAATCAGAGATGGTTTTGGATGAGGTGAAAGACATCATCACGTTGCCCGCCTTTGATGCAAATGCAATGAAGAAGCAGGTTGACCCTGATTCTATCCAGTTGGACGGAGAGGTTTGGACGCAACTTTCCTCTCTCATTGCCAAGATTGCGTCCATGTACAGGTCAAACCCCTTTCATAGTTTTGGTAAGAAGACTACTTGCTTTGTCATGTCCCTGCAAACCACATGGTTAATGGGCAACTCACACTCTTTTCCCGTTTCAACAGAACACGCCTCACATGTTACTATGAGCGGTAAGTGTTTGTGTCCAGCCTTGTGCAGCGGGGCTTCCTCTTTACTATCTCTCATTTTGATTCCTGCCTCCAATAGTTCTGAAGATGCTTGGGCGTATTGTAGCGCCAAAAGAGATCACTGTCAAGAACAAATCTGGCAACATCGACCACAACACCATCGAGGCGGAGTTGCACGATCATACATTTGGCGTAACATCCGACCCGCTCACGCATTTTGCGTGTGCATTCTCAGGTAAAGTTTGGTTGCATGCATAGATGTTGCAAGGTATACTGTCTGGTCTATCTAAGGGCGTGGACTCACCCCTGCCCGTCCCTCTCCCTCAACTACCCAGCCCTCATCCATGACCTCGACCACCAGGGAATTCCCAACACTGTATTGGTTCAGGAGTCCGCCCCACTTGCGTTGAAGTACAAGAACAAGAGTGTCGCCGAACAACACAGCGTAAGCATGGCATTTGCGCTGCTGATGAGCCCTGAGTACACCAAGCTCCGGGAGACTATTTGTTGTGACGAGGAAGAGTTCGCACGATTTCGTTCTCTAGTGGTAAATTCCGTGATGGCCACAGAGTAAGTCGCATTAGTTGGAGGGTGGTCATCACTCTCATCGCCACTCCACGTACCGTAATTGACAGATCCCCCTTTTTCGACGCTTTCTTTCTGTCGCAGCATTATGGACAAGGAACTTGGATGTGCCCGGAAAGCTAGGTGGAACAAGGCCTTCAGCATTGAGCAAGAACAAGATCGCGATGAAGACCAGCAAGTGGCCATTAACCGAAAAGCAACGATTGTGGTGAGTACCTACAGTGTACAATGTTCATTCCCTCGCCCAACTCGGATGCTTACCCCTTCGCCCTGTTCACCGTGTAGATCGAGCACTTGATTCAGGCTTCTGATATTTCTCACACAATGCAGCATTGGTAAGTGGTCTTTCACTTTGTCTAGTACCAAAGTAGCTTCCTTCTCTGCTGACATGGCTCCAACTTGCATCTGTGCTCGCTTCTACAGGCACGTTTATGCCAAGTGGAACGAGGTAAGGAAACCATGATAATCTGAACTTGAATGTGAACCGCCCTTGCCCTTTTGCATCTCAGCCCATTGCTATGCATCCCTTCTCCCTTGGGCTTTTAGAGACTCTTCCAGGAGATGTACAAAGCTTACAAAGCTGGTAGACTACCGAAGGATCCATCCGAAGGATGGTATAAGGGAGAGCTGGTGAGTGCAAAGTTTGAGCTTCTGTAGATTCAGCTTTGCTTGTCGGTCATTCTAATGATTCTCCTGGTTGTGATGACTCTCTGCTAAAATCGTATGACTAGGGATTCTTTGACTTCTACATCATTCCACTTGCCAAGAAGCTATTTACTTGTGGTGTGTTTGGGGTATCCAGTGATGAGTTTTTAAACTATGCTCTGACCAATCGAAAGGAATGGGAACAGAAAGGTCAAGACATGGTGCAACGATACTTGAAGAACTACGCAGAAGAGTTTGGTGACGACCAAGAAAGCGCTTGCGTCGTGGTTGGGGATCGTTAACTGAAAAATTAGGACTTTATCGTTCAATCGTGTACACATGAGGTGATGGGTACTACTAATACCTCCATGAGGCAACAGCCGCTATTAATCCATTTTTGTTGACTCTGTCGGAACGGGCTCCATGATCTTTGGGGACAACAAACCCCTACCAGTGGGGAGTTTTCCGCTTCCAGGGGCAAACCGAACCCGTGATTTCCGAAATGTTTCCAGTGTCCTGACCATTCTGTTTCCAATGTGGCAGAAGGAACTAGTGATGAAATGATAATGTACGCAGGCCCATGAATTGTGGCTTTTCAGAGGTTTGTAATACTCCAATGCAAGCGCATGAAGCTCTGGAAGGCGCCTACCAGGAATGTTCATAAAGTCTAGCTGCGACAGGAATTGAGGGGTATTGAGTTGGAAATATCCGTCTCCTGTAATATGCATGCAGAACAATAGTACACTCACCATGGTGTTCAACGCGGCAGCGCACATTATAAGTTACGTAGTTGAGAGGCCCACAGTAGCTGTTTGTTTCTTGTCCATCTTCGAAAACCCAGTGTTCATGAAAAAAATGTGCCGCCACTGGATGCAAGCTATGCCCAAAGATTGTTGATAGTACTAAAGGAAACTGCCTTCTTGGAACCCCAAAACGCCCCCTCTTCTGCAGCCTTTGCATGAGTCCAGGCTAGAAACATTGGAAACACTGCCACATCAAGAGTCACCCAGGCGGTCCGCGTGTCATGGCCATCCATGTCCTTGATTTGGGCTTCTTCAGAATCTCATGTCGGCCGATGCGATGCGGCTCTCCATCGCCCACTTCTTCAAATGGATGGGCAGGTGCTGCCATCTTGACCTACCAAAAGTAAAAAAGTAACTGTTAGTAGTCTGGCTAGCTATAGAGGTTGGGCAGACCTGGACCTGCATGGCAACTCTAAACTCTATCGGCCATTTAAAAAAAACTGGTACTGTACCTATCCGGATAGCCGTATTGCAGCCGTACAGTACCGGTACATGTACAGTACTTCAAATGTGACCGGTCACGCTTTCCGTGACTGGACTATCCAGGAACACGTCTCGATGATATTGGTGCGGTCTGTGTACTGTACCAGGTACTGGTACCGGTACATCGTACTAGCTTGTAGCCACTACTGGAAGACAGTTTTAGACAGGTAGTTAAGGGAAGTTTGGGGTTAAAGTTAACTTCTAATTTTGTAAAGATAACTGGATTTACCGCAACTACCTAATTTCCAAAGTTGTCTTCCGGTTACGTTTGTGCAAGTTGAAGTTGCCGGAAGAAGTCTGGACCTGGCGCAGCTGACAGGACCGCTCGCTCAGGATTTAACGAGGACCCAACACATATGAAACGTTCCCTTAAACATTCCCTGTAATCAAGGACATTCCCTGAAACATTCACTTAGGTAATTCCCTCAAAAAACGTTACTTTAAGCCTTCATAGACTACCTTGCGAGCTGGCCCGGCGAGCGGAAAAAGGAGATCCAACGGCTCTCCAATGAGAAGCCGGGAGGTAGTGTGATGGTAGAAAACGCTACAAGAGTAGTAGTACAGTCGTAAACGCTTTGACACGAATGACTTTTTTCAATCCGATCTCCGCTCCGGTACGGTCACGGCTGCAATGGCTGAATGGTCTCGAACACCGAGAATCATAATCTCAATCAATCAACACTAGGTCTGCTCGAACATCTTTGCCCAACCCAACCCAACCATGACACCGACGATAGCCCGCAAGAGTACAAGTGTGAGGAAAAATGTCCCCGTCATACCCAACGTGAGCGCGGAACGGTGGAAGGAGATCACGGGAAAATATCCTCATTTCCCAACCGACATTCTGGAATTGACGTCGGAACGATGTGAAGCTCCTGTTCGGTTGCCGGCACCAATCGAAGATTGGCTTGCCAGAAACGCTGGTCTCGTACATGATCCACGAGATGGCATCATGATCAGTTTGGTTTTCAACATTACTTGTGCCGCGGGTCTTCTCTACGCGCTGCTGTGGTACTACCCCTCCCATTGGCTGGGTTTGTTTACACAATGCTTTTACTTTGCTGTCTTCGAAACGCGCTTCATTTTGATGAAACATTACGCTGAACACCAAAGAGGATTTAGCACTTTGTTTGGGTGGTATGTCTCAGGCGTTTTGAGCACTCTTGCAGGGCTTCCGCCTGGTCTTTATGGTATGTTCAGTTATTGCTCCGAGTACCTGTTCAGTCTCCTGTTTGTTGATTCGGTTGTTGACCTTTTTGTCTATTCTTGTTTGTGAAGGACTACACCACTTGTTCATGCATCACATTGGCAACAATGCCGTTGGGGACGACCTCAGTGCCACAGAATGCTACCAACGCGACAATATCCTCCACTGGCTGGTGTATTGTGGAAAGCACTATTTCTGCATGGCAACGCTTCCCATGTATGCATTTTCCAGGCAACGCCCTGGTTTGGCCTTGGCATCCTTGGGTGGTACAGCTTATTGGGTTCTCTTTATCCGCTACACATGGTCGGTCAACAAGCACTTTGCCATTTGGGCTCTCATTGTGCCGTTTTGTGCACTCCAAGCCTTTCTCATGTTTGGCAATTTCTGTCAGCACATTTTCGTTCATCCCAAAGTTGGATCGATGACAGACAAGCATGGATACGAATTCAACTGTGCCATTGCATATCAAAGCATCAATCACTTTGATAACTTGATTACCTTCAATGACGGTTATCATGTCACTCACCACGTCAATTCCCGAGTACACTGGACTCGCCATCCTGAACATTTCTTGACAAACTTGGAAAAGTATGTTGAAAATGACACATTGGTCATAAATGGTTTGGGCGTTCCCGAAATTGGATTCTATGCCTTTACTGGTCGTTTGGATATCATTGCCGATCATGTCGTTCACTTTACAAAAGAAAAGAGAAAGAAAGAAGATGTCATTGCCGACTTGAAACTGCGTCTCCAGCCCATCGTTCGCAAGAGCGTCAAGGCCATCTAACAGAATAGGTGCGGTAGCTAGTAGTGCCGTAACTTTACCGTAACTTTGCCATAAAGCAGCCTTTTAAAATAGTGCAGACTTTTTTTTGCTCAGGAGGCATTCTACTAGCTACCGTAGCTAGCTTGACTTTTGGATAGATGATGGTTTCGCGGCTGCGCGAAAACATAGAGCTGCAGCGGCATTACATGTAGATCCTCCAGGACCCTTGACAAACTACGCTGGAACAGAAGATGGCAGCAACGAGCAGCCATAGTCAGCGGTTGGATACTGTAGAACTGAGCAGTTAAGAAAACCGGCAGAAAGCCAGAACCAAAATCTTCACCTCGCTTTTGGCTGGCTGGCACATGCGACGAACTGTCCCGGCACAAGCTACTACAGTAGTAATGGGATGGAACCGGCGCCTGCACTGTCGGCAAGCCCGTTGAGCTGTTTTAGTCCCGGTGCGAAGCAAAAGGAACCCTTCTGGAAGGCCTGGTCATGCGACTGTTAGTCCCGGATTCTTCTTGCTATGGTCAAAGTCGCGTCGGATCGCTGAAAGTCGTTCACAAAGTCGCGTGCGACTCGCACGCGACTTTGGTACGACTTTCCAAACGACTTTCAGCGATCCGACGCCACTTTATCGCCATACTTACAGTTACTTTGCGCGACTTTCAAAGTCGTGTGAGAAAGTCGCACGCGACTTTGGTGCGACTCGTATGCGACTTTAAGAACGACTTTTAATGCGACTTTGGTGCTCCTGTGCGACTTTATGCCGATTTTGGCGATTTTCAGTCGTATGACCGGGCCTTCCTGGGGGCAAGCGAACAACGAACAACAAGCAACAAGCACCAGAACAAACAGAGAGCAACAACGCCAACAGCAAGATTCAATCCCCTCGATTGTTTGCAAGGATGTCGTCAACTCTTACCAATCTCTCCAAGTCTTTGGGTAGAAAGTTGTTTGGGGGGTCTGTGCAAAGAGTAAGTAAAGGGTCTCCGCTTACTGGAAAAGAGAGAAGGACATTTTTCGTGACCGAGTTTCAGTATCCTTCCGTCTTCGGCCGGCTTCGCTCACCAAACGCTGCTATTGTTCTAATAGAAGCTACTCCCCAGGCCACCTGTCCCGACCATCTATGAAGATGAACGGCTAGAAGAATCCGACGAGAGTGAGGACGAACCATCCCGAAAACCTGACCAGATTCTTCAAAGGCAACCCATTCTTACAAACTATGCCCGACAAGAACGAAAGCGCTTTGTGAGCTCCTACTATCGAGATGTATCATCCAGCCAATGCCAAATCCCACCAGCCGCTACCAGAGGTCCTAGCAGAGATGAAGGAGATAATATCTTGCTGTATCACCCGGACTTGACAATCCCGGTGGGTGGTGGCAGCTTTGTTCATGTTTCCCAGTAGGGACATAGTCATGCAGTCACTCTACTGTATGGTGTTTTCAGTTCATCAATAGCTTTCTAGCTAGATCTCTACTTTTAAATCTCTCTTCCGCCAGCTCGTGCTATCACTTGTATAGCGAGTTCGGTACGTTGGCTAAATCCTTTTTTACCAAGCAAGAAAGAATCCGCGGGAGGATAGAGGAGCGCGACGAAGAACGTACCGACTCCACGATTGGCATCGTGGGTTACGTTTTCCCAGAGGCCAAGGCCCTCTTTCGGTTCCAACCGTTTCATTGCCGTCTCGTACCGGTATCATACCAGTTCGTTGATACCCTAGAGGTGAGCGTGTTCGGTCATGCATGTTAGCACATGTTGTAGATCTAGCGTGTGTTGATGCTGGTGGCTTTTCAACTACAGCAAGAAATAATGACAACATTGGACATCTTGATCCATCGGACGGCTGGATCTACTGTTTCGTTAAGGGAGTGTTGCTTGCGCCCATTCTATTGCTATCCCGTGGTCAACAGAACGCAACAACAACAAAGTCACCTCACTCAGTCATTCCGCAAGAACTGTATCACCATGCCTCTCGTCATCAACTCCTCTCTGTCAAACAGTCCTAGCAGGATGAAGAAGAACCCATTCAGGGCTGACAGTGCTCGGTATATCTTTCTGCAAAACTTTGAAGGACCTAATGGTACTTTCCCGGGGGATGGCATTGAATTGATGGCAACCTGCCAGGACGAGAACAATGACGAGGCGGTGTCAATGACGGACAAAACAATTGACGCGATGCCATCCCCAGAGGTAGAAGAAAAACTTCTTTCGCAGATTCTGACCTACATCTCAGGCGAGTTCCCTCATCGCTACAACGAGGATGAGTTGCGCCAGGTGCTCAGAGGCAACATTACTTCTATAGTATTTCTCGCTGGCAATGACAAAACGGACGGCCATTTGGAAGTAAACATTGATCGGTTTCAGCAGGATCTAAGCATGGAAAGGCTATCGACAGATGAGGACGGAGAGACCAAATCTATGTCGGATGGTTCCAGTACTACTGCTAGTAGTTCATCCTCACTTCAAGGCGAAAAAGGGACGGCACGACGTAAGAGACGTTGCCTACCGATACTACCAACCGGAATGCCCGACTCGTGGAGACGCTGGAACTGGATATCTGAACGATCCTCCCTCTCCTTGTCTCCCAAGGCAAACAGCTATCATCAAATGAAATAATCTCCTTGTTCTCTTGACTACATGTTCTCCCGTAGCTAGCTAGCTAGAGAAAGTTTCACGTCGACAACTGGAATGGTGCCGGTGTGGTGGTACGCTGTACTGTTCGGCACAGTGTGGTAGCGGTACCAGGTACCATGGTACCGGTACCACCGGTAGTCTACCACTCGGTCATGAGAGTTGAGTTCGTCTTTTTTCTGGAGTCCCGGAGCCGTTATTTTACAGCCGATGCTTGAGCGATCACACTCGGAAAGTTGCACGCGCTCGCGCCTCGCAGAAACCTCTCACAATACCGCCAATGGCGGTGTCTCGCGACTGTTCCCATCACTATCATCACCTTTCGAGTAACCAGAGTAGCACTAGTAGCAGTTGTTGTCCTTTCTGTCCTTGCCTACCATCTGAATGCATTGCTGGAGCAGCTTACAGTTGTGCGGATTGCAGGCTACTGGCTGGTAAGCTGGCAACAGCTTCGGCAAAGGTACTCGGCCGCGTCATTCCTGAACCGCCGTCAACCATCTTTGATTACAGACAGCCGCATCACTACAAGATGCCCTTCAATGTCAAGAAGAATGCCTTTGGCAGGGCCATCTTCGGCGTTAGTGTAGGCGGGTACAGGAAACAAAAGTCAGATTCTGTGCCACTCAAGAATGCTAGTAACAACAGCAGCGGCAATAGCAGCAGTAGTAGCAGCAGTGGCACTAGCAACCAAAATAACAACAATACTCCCACTGCTCGAATGCTAGTATCCAGCAAGTTAGAGCTGAAGCGTTATGACATTCTGCCTACTCGAAAGAGCAGCGAGAGTGACGCAACTCTGTTGAAAGAACTCGGTAAGCTCCACGACGACAGGCTTTTGCCTAACATGGATGCTGCTTTGCAGCACTCATTGCTGTACAGTGAAAGCAGCAACCAAACAACGGGTCTAGACACTTCCAACAGAGAGTTCAATGGTCAAGACAATGCCAACTTTGTTGGCTTTGGTGTTGACTCAGACATAGGGGATGCAGCTGCCAAGGTGGGTGCCTCTCCGCAAAAGGGACCAGTAAAAGACACGCTCCCTATAGCCACAACCGCTCCATCCTTTGCTACTACTGGAAATGATCACGGCAGGGGCTCCTGGGTGATGCCCACCACTACTACGATGGAGGATGATCTACTCAGCTGCGCCTTTGATGAAATTATTACCAGGCGAGGCGAAGAAAACTTGACAACCACGCTACAACAACGGCGGCAGCAAGAACAACAACAACAACAACAACAATATCAAACTCGGTCCAATGCTCCTTCTCCAGTTCCTCCATCTCCACGAGATTCTCCCTTGAGACCGAGAAAAGCTGATCCACCTGGATCAACCAAGGCTCCCTTTTCTAGAGACCCACCGGCCTCATTTGCCAACAAACTATTGAGTCCACCCGGCCAAAAAGATCCTTCCGGTGATGCTCCCTCCTCCTTTTGGCCGTCAAGAAGAGTCATTCCTATTGTCGAGGTCACTGCTCCAGTATCAATCAAGAGAAGAGATGTTGTTGTCAACAACAATGTTCCCACTCCAAGCAGAAGAGATGTCAACAACAATGTTTCCACTCCTAGCAGAAGAGACACCCCAACCCGCCTTGGGGCAAAGACAGCACGGGTCAGTCCACAGACTGTCCCAACGAATGCGGATGCCAGCCCCACTAGGTTCCCAACTGTCAATAGGCGACTCAGTGATCCTGAGCTATTCTTTGCGTCTGGTGGACGTGGACTGGCTCCTCCGTCACCGCACAAGTTGCATCTTCATCACCAAACAGAAAGACGCCTATCCGATAACCACGAGATTCGACAATACATGAGGAAAACCAGTGATGTTGAAAACCAAGAGTTTTCCAACCCCTTTGCGCCTCCTACTAGTACAACAGCTGCACGAGCGAACAACAACAGCCCGTTTCCGGCCATGCCGAGTCAAGTGGCCGTCCTACAGCAAAGACACGTCGAACGACATCTGGCAGAAAACCAAGCTCGAGTGCTGGATCCCACTTTTTCTTCGACTGGCAGACGACACAGTCACGGCAATGTCGAAAAGCCAGATGAAACCACCAGCAATGATAATGTGAAGCCCAAAGGAGCAATACCCACCAATGCAAGTGAGCGCCGCCTTAGTCGACATGTCTGGCGTCAAAATCAACTTTTGGAGCCTCCTTCAAACCCCTTGATGAATCTGGCAAATGTGTCGCTGCCAACTCCTACTTCTTCAAAGGCGAGACCTACTAATGAGCCGAAACATGTCTACAATTTCGATCAGCTTGTATCCTTGCCTACTCCAAACGTCAGGCCAACGGAGCCAACCCAGAAGACAGGCATGCACGAGCTTGACCAGCGGGCGGAACAGAGAGTCAGTAGTGTGGGCAATCTATCACCCACTCCCACTGCTGCTAGGGTCAGGCCTGTAGAGCCCCAAGAGACGACAGCAGTGCGCAATTTTGATCAGCTGGTGGAACGACGAGCTAGTGGGAGTGGCCATTCCCGGTTTGGAGAGTTTGCTTCAGAAAACTTTACCCAATCACAACAGCAGCCTGATAACCGACTGTTCCATTCGAGACTTGCTTTCGAACTGCGAAGGCCGCTCTCATCCAGGGCTATGAATACAGGCAATGATAGTGAACTCCCCGAGTCTTCTCAGCAGCTCACAACAAGAACACGACGTCATAGCGAAGATTTCGCTGCAATCAAGGGACAAAACAGCAATGCTAAAGGAATGCCACCATTAGGGAAGGGATTGTCAGAACAGCAAGGAGCTGCAGGGAAAACCACAAGTGACGGCGGGGCAATGGATGCACCTCACCAGGGCATCTCACCCACTGAGGTTCGTCAGTTGGATAGTGGTAGTGTTGACATCTTTGGCTTGATGGCGCCAATGGATACGATCGACAACTCCTCTCCAAACGACGAATCGGGTCTTGTTTCGGCTGCGGCATCGATGAGACCGCCACTCGCAGATTCCCAACGAGTCCTCAACATTGACGATCCTAATCAATGCACGTATTGGGTCACAACAGCAGATGGGCAATGCCAACACTTGGAAATTGACTGTGAAAGTGCCTCTCAAAACAAGGCTTCCAGAAAGTCGTTTGGGCGAAAAGATGACGGCCGGTTGACGATCGCTTCCCTTTGGAGCGATGTCAGCCAACATGCCAAGGGTTACAGTAAGAAGGGCGAAAAGGGCTGCTTGACTCCCACCGGCAAAAAGAATGGCAAAGTACGAAAGATTACGTCGTCCTTGTCGTTTCGGGCAAGTTCGACAAAGGCACGTATACGCCGAAATTTCTCCTTCAGTAGCGTGATTTAATTAGCATTAGTGCAATGAGGCCAACCTCGTGCAGACGGCGGTGGGTGCCGTACTAAGGTGGTGTCATTCAGTGATTTGAACAGATGGCCAGCTTACCCTATGTCATAGAATCGTGCTAGCAGCCAGGAGAAAATACAGGACGAACTACGGTGCCGAGCGTAAGCAGAACAAGCAACTGTGATCAACGAGACCAAGGGCTCTTCTGCGGACAATCTCGTCCAGGTGACCGAGAGGTCCCCGTTGTGAAGTGAAAGATGGCATCTTTGGCAGCAACGGTGACTTTCTCACTGTTGCACCCATGAGCCTCCGGCCACCTGCTCGAAGGCCTGTTCCGGCAAGCTCTCTGTTTGCTTCCATTTCTATTAGGTTGCTGCCCAAGTTGATTATCAGCCCAAATACCCCGTATCTTACCGTCCAAGTTGCTAGCAAACTTTTGGGTTGAAGATCAAAACTGTACGGTTCCGATCGCTACTTTGTCAGTGTCACCGTAGCCACGGCCTGCTACCAGAGTTGAAAAGGAACTCTTCACACGGAACTGCAAGGTTCTCCCAAGGAGGTCCACCAGCTAATGGCTTAGTTAGACGTTAGGGAGGCGCCGTTCCTTGGATCCATTCGTCCCAACTTCTTTCTTTCAAAAGTATTTTTGCACTCTTGAATGCATTCATTGTATCGCTTTGACAACGTCCTACCAAGCCATATTGGGCTCGCAGCCGGAGAGAAGAGATCATCTATTGTTGCCTGTTTTGTACAAAAACCCAGTGACCAAGTTGTTTTTGTGTGTCTGGTTGCGATAGTAAGGACTCTCGTACATTGCCTCAAATACGCTTAGATATCCCTTAGAATCTGGATTGTTGTTGGTTTTGAGAGTGTTGAATTGCTTGGCATGGGTACACCAATCCATTTGATCCTCGTAACAGTCAAACCACTTTCCTTCGCCGTGGACTTCACAGTAGGGTCGACGAACCTTCTTTTGTTCCTTTGGTTTTCCCAATACCACATTCAATGGCATGGTTTGCGAAAAGCTGGAGAATTGTCCCGCAATCAAGACATCAGTGGATGCCAGTAACATCATATCACCCAACATGGCTTTCCACTTGTCAAAGCACGTGTCTTCGTCCAACCCCTCCTCTTGTCTCTGTCCCAAAAAGACGCCTGTTCCGGCTTGTTGATGTTGTTCTGGGGACCACTCCACAACGTTGATTTGTCCCATCAATTGAATTTGAAACAAACCCATGTAATCTTGATTGTCCGCAGCAACAAATAGCACTGGTTGAGGTGGTTCTTGGCCTCCATTGTCTTGTTTGACTGTTTCAAGATATTTTAAAATGTGTGCACTGACTTTTTTCACCCATTCTTCGGGTGTGATTCCAATCTGACGATTCTTCTCGGTAAAGTCTCCCTTTTCTCCATTGCCATCCCGCACGTGTATCCCGATGGCCAATTGATTGTCGAAGTTGTCTCGTACGTATTGCTGAATTTTGTCCTTGTATCGGTACCGGTCCATGATTTCGGCAAAGAATTTGTAGTAGGCATGCAATTCTTCCTTTGCACAATACTTGTGTTTGAGAGCCCAATAGCCACCGACTTCACCGTCGGTACGATAGTATTGTCCCTTGGACTTGACATAGGCCTGCAATTCGGCGGGAGTTTCCTCACGGAAGAGATGTTGGAAAATTTCAGTATCACCGCAGAAGCCCCATACCGCCTTCAATTGGAATCCCAACACATAGTGGGAGGCATGATAGGCCGCGGCCATGCGACTCAAGCGGTGCCCCACGCCACAACAAGCATTGTAATCCAAAACACTCATTTCTTCTTCAGCGGGGATTGGTTCTTGTGACAGCACTTCTGTGGAAAGACTCTTGTGGGTATCTTCTTTTTTTACTACTATTTGTGTTTCTTTCTTTGGAGTGGAAATTGTGACATTCCTCTGGAGAGAGGATAAGGTACCCACATCGAGCCATTGTAGCCCCCATGCTTTGGTGGACCACAGATAAGCCACCATGCAAAATCCCAAGACTGCCAGAAGCACGAGCGCTTTATTCACCACAACAAGGCGTTGACTTCTGGGTTCCTGATGCTGCTGCTGCTGCTGCTCCTGATGATCATCTCCCTTGGACAGCAACTTGTTGCGGAGCCTCTTGCTTGCCGATACCATGATGGGTTCCGTCGCTGTGGTTATTCTGTTGGTGATGTTGGGATGTTGGGGGTTGGGGATCTTGTTGTTAGGTCATTCTGAAGAGGGAACAGTCATTTCGGGTGTTCTGTACCGGTGGGTTGTTTTCTTCAGAGTTGCAATAATATTGCTACTACACGTAAGTGTTCAAGAGGCGTGCATCACATCCTGTAATTGTAATACTGCTATGATACCCTCTGCAAAGCCCTCACTTCGTGCATACGGTACCGTAGCTTTGTGCATCTTATTAAGACACGGCATCAGCAGGGCCATGTGGGAGAATCCAGGGACCTCCGCCTGAGGAGTTGCATAGAGGTAGATCTTCATAGCTGTGGACACAATCCGTGGTACCTCAACAGGCAGTCTAAGGCTTCCTAATAACCACATCAGTCAAGACTAACTAAAAGAGGCGCATTCCGGGCTCCTCAGCCGAAGTGGATTGACCTAAACTGGTAAGTCAGAATGTATCCGGTAGGGTACAAAAGCTTAAGGTGGTGTAATCATCAAGGAGCGAAGGATGAAAACAAGAGCTTTCGACAACTCAAGAGATGATAAGTCTCTGCTACACAGGACCTTGAAGCAAAGATGATGCTCTTGCCATGACTCGACTCTTTGACCATGATCACGAGTGACCACGGGTGGCAGCGACCATGGGTTCAAGAGCATGCAAGCGTATCTACGATTGCAACTGTTACTTTCACTTTGTACCTACCTTGCTCGAGTAACAGCAGTAAGACCATGTCACATACCATTGTTTGCTGTCCGGCCATGTTGACCAGCTTTGACCAAAATAGCCGTTCAATGGCAACGACTGACAATGTGAGTGGCCATGCATATGTTCCCATCTCCCCGCACCGGTACCGGTATCACATGCTAAGTCAGGGGCAATCTTGGCTGGAATCGTTCATTGGTCCACTCCCTTCACTGTTCGTTTGGTTTTCAACTACAAACTCAATGTGAATCTATCATTCTAGTGGCTCGGCCATCAAGAGCAGCAGGGCCTAGCTAGCATTGGCCCAATCAAACCTAGACTGACTGGTACACACCCGCTGACCGGTACACACAGCCCGTTCACACTTACCGGATGACGCAGTTTCCTTGTCTCTTCCGCTGCAGTGGCTACTCCATACATGCAGCCAAGGCAGACCCTTCCGAACTGCTTGAATGTATCAAGCTAGCTAGGTCGCATGCGACGAAGGGTTCGACTGTGGACCAGCAAGGACGGCACGACCGACCTAATTCGTGGCCGATCCCACTTTACTTTGATTCCCGCTCCTCGGGCCCACAAGTTTGAGCGACTTGGGGCAGGTGACTTTTCCCGTTAAAGCTCCTGTTGCCGTCAAGAACCTTCTTATTGCTTATTTGAGTGAACACGATTGACAAACGATCCGGTCACAAAACTTTCGCAACCCCACACAAATTTGAGACAACGAACTATCACACACACTGGAAAGGGAAGAGCATCAAGATATCCTCATTCATTGAAAAACGACAGTAAAGAAGTAAACTAACACCATGTCCAAGAGAGGCTCGTTGAAAATGAAAGTTGGCAATGTCTTTAAGAGAGGAGGCAAGAAGAAGGAGCGCTGCAACAGCGACACCGAGTCTTCGGAATCATCCATGGACTTGGATGAGTTGCGGCAACATATTGGCGAGCTCAGTCTGACCTTTAAGGACAGCAACTCGGCCGTCAATGAAAGAAAAAGTCAAGATGTCAACAGAAGCATCACTCTCAATACTAGTACCGGAAATAGTTCCCTGGTGCAAGAATTCAACAACAGCTCCAGCAATGACGACAGAATGAAGAATCTCATCCTGTCCTACAAGAGCAAACCTAGGCCATTTCGAGATACCAAAGCACCACCCAGACCACACAAGAGCCGTTCCTTCAAAATGGATGGCGTTCCAGCCTTTATGAATCAAGAAATCCAGAAGAACGCGCGTCGAGAAGCCGAGAAACGACGCAAACGACAACAAGCCAAGTCCGCCACACCCATGTCGGAGCTTCATGAATCCATGGCAAGCATGTCCATGCCCACCATGACTCGGAAGGAGCGGCCCAAGGTTCGCTTTCTCAATCTACCAAAAGATCATCCCTTGTACTGGGACCACACAAAGCTGTCTGCCAGCGACTTTCCGGAAGAGGATAGAGCCTTCTTGGCCAAGACTCTCAAGAACCCAATGAAGAGTTTGGGCGGGCAAGCAAGCCCTGCACGTGCGGACATTATCTTGAAGAAGCTGCATTTGAAGGACTGGGATGCCGCCACTATCGGGCGTTCAGCCATGGCCCTCTTTCATCCTGACAGCAATCCTTTGAACTTGTCTCCGGAAGTTACTAACTACTTCTTCACGCGATTCAACACTCTCAAGACAGGTCTGGATGAAGGAGATGAAATCCAATACATGGATCGGACCTATCAACAACGAGAAGGAACATTGCCAGAGCTGTACAGTCGTTTAAGGGGAGATTTTGAAGAAGCTACGCGAAGCTACGAAATCCACCAAAACAGTCCTTACGACTTCTGAACTAGCTAAATAAAAAAGTAGAGCAATGATACGACTCGGGTCACACTGCCGCATTGTACATGTAGTTTACTGTTCATGCGGGCTGAGCAGCCGCAACCGTGACTTGCTTGAAAGCTACCGTAGTGGGGAGACTCTTGGTCAGTCGATGGTACGGTGGGGATGAAAGCTGCTGAAGCGTACAAATCAATGAACTAAATCAAATATGTGCCTCGTTGCATCGGTCCTGTCAACTCCTTGTATCGTTGTCCTTGGTGCTTTGGTGATTCTGGGCCGTGTCTGGACAGCACAATTGTGATTTTGCTCTTGTTGCTCCTTTACATACGCACTCATTCTTCATACAGCTTTGTTTCTGGGAAACTGCCGTACGTATGCTTGCGCTTGGGCAGAAAGAGCAATTTCTTTTTTCTTGACGCTGACTGGTTTGACTGGCTCGGCCTCCGAGTAGATTGATCGACATCACTTTGTCTGTCTGGTGCCAATGCATCCATTGAAAGAGGCTGGTAGAGAGAGACCAATGTGAATACCTGAAAACATCCCGTACACCCGAAGTTGCTCGTTCTTGGCCCAAGATGGATAGTTTGCTTGGAAGCTGGCTACTCCAATTGGAGTCCACATGTATGGGCACAAGAGGATGCATCTTTTTTTGTGCTGTCGTCGTGCCGACATGATTCCACATAACACTGTAAATGAGTCATGCGTTGTTGAAACAGCTTTCGATCCGTATAAAATGCCTCTTGAGCTCGTTGTCCGTAGTCCCGTCGTTGCTCCAACGACATGGGCAGTACGATTTGATTCATGACCCGTGCCAATTCGGGTGCCCCCACATTGGCAAACGGCAGTCCATTGGTCCACTCTAGCATGTTGCTGGGTTCCAGCAATATCCCAGTGTTTTTGGCAGTGACAAATTCGTTCATGGCCGGATAATTGGTGGCCAGCAGAAGCGCCCCGACAGCCCGTGCTTCGTTTATGTAATGTCCAAAACCTTCCATGCCACTCAAACACAAATGGACGCCATGAGATGTCATCAAGTGGTCCATTTCGGCTCGTGACAGTTTTTGCGTCAAATGTCGAATATTGGAAGGTAAGTGTTGTATTCTCAATTGTTGCTTGAGTTGTGCCAGCAGATGATCGACCATTTGATTATTGTAGCTGGTCAACGTCAGTGTCGGCCAGTGTGGATGTTGTAACCATGCTTGAAGGATACTCCAGGTTCCCTTGTGGGGACTTCTTCCGGCGACGTGGATGAATTTGTGGAATCGTTCCAGATTATCATCATCCTGCAACGAAGCAGAAGAGGGAACAATGGATGTAAAACCAGTGTAGAACATGGGAATTTTCTTGTTTTGTTCTTGCTGTTTTTGTTGAATCCAGGAAACACATTGTCGAGTTTTGCACAGGATCAATTCCAGATTCGGCAAATCCAGCGTTTCGATAGTGAATTGGTCGGTATTGGCCATGACCATGACACGACAACTGCTTCTTTTGTTGGTTTTCCATTCTCGATGCATGTCGGCGTTGGTCGTCTTGGGCGTGAGTTCCAGAAACAAGTAGACACACGAGTGCTTTCCATTGTTGTTTGTTGGAGGTGACTCTTCCAACATGGACAATTCGGATCCCAAGTACGTCTCGTAGATCGATGCGTCCACTAGAAGACCCGTCGAATTGGGCGTAATGGTCCACAGTGTCGTTGTCGTTGTTGTCTCGGATTTACTACTACCGGTACTCCATTTCTCGATGAATGCTGGAAGCAATTGCGAATGGCGCCACAAGAGACCCGTCGCGACAGCAAGGATCGCCACGAGCACAGAAAGAGCAACTCCACGCCATTGTGGCTTGTTGGCAGGGGATGGAGTGCTACTAGTGGCTGTTTCTGGCTTGTCTTCGTTTGTCGTGGGCGACATGGAACCAACGGTGCCCTCTCTCTTCGCTTGGCAACTCACTTCTTGTGTGTAGAGGCTGCGACTGTCTCTTTTAAGGTGTCATGGTGTCCGAGTGCGCGCCATTGCGAAGCTGTGACTGTTCGCACTGTCACACTCCACACACAGAGACTGAAAATTTGAGTCAAGATTAATTCATGATTGAATCTCAGACTTTCTCACTTGCAAATCTCGTCATCTCGTCGTCAGTTGGGAAAGCCGATGCCAAGCTCTTGAGGGCAACACAAAAGAAGTGACCGGTTGGTAGAGTAGATGTTGCTTTGGACGACAAGAAGACGATGATATACTTTCGGCGTCCACAGACTGCTTTTGTTCAAGACGAAGGCTCGCAGAAACCATATTCCCAATGGCAGTTGGTGGCCGATGGAAACGATCCACAACAACAGGATAATGCCAGCCACAACGACGTCATGGATGGTAGCAATGGCAGCCATCACGGACTCGGAGGTGGATCGGGTCATCACGACCAGCAGGAATACCACGGTGATTTGGTAGAGCCTCCCAAGAGAAAATCGTTACAAGAGAGAGATGACATCATGGAAGGAGAGAATGCAACTACCAACACAACAACCAGCAATAATACAGACCCCCTACAACCAGACGCTAGTACGGCCAGTATTGCGGCCAGTTCCAACGACGATTCCATAGATGAAGATCTTGCAACTAGCTTGGAAAGAAGATTGCAACTAGAAGTCAAGCACCATCCGGAATCAGTACTACTCTGTGGATACTTTCATGAAGAAATTGTGGATGATTGCCTAGCTTTGTCGACCTATCTACCAGGCGTTCATTCGCGAGAATTGAGGGTATATTATGGCGAATGTGTTCTCAAGGTGGCCGGGGCAAGAGCTCTCTACAATTTGGTGCAACGATTTGAACGTTCTTTTGCATTGGATGAACGACTCGTCAATACAAATGACATTCGTGCCGTTTTACACGAAGGAATGCTCATGATCCGAGTCCCACTCGTCAGCACCCCACCACCACCCATCGCAATTAAAGTGGTCGAAGCTACCCCCTTGATCAATTTTCTGAACCGAGAGGAGCTCTTTTGTCTCGATATTGACGTACCAGGAGTCAAACGCAAGGATTTGACGGTGGAATACCACAATGGCATTTTGAGGCTCCTTTGGGAGAGACTAGAGCCCGCTTTGAAATCCACAAATGTCAACAAGGAAAACAATTCTGCCACACCATCCCTCGACAAACCCAATCAAAAAACCATGATGCGCTTTGAACGTGTTATACCCATCAATACACTGCAAATGGATACCAACAAGTTCACGGCGTACCTCGATCACATCACCAAACCCACGGGCGTGCTCACCATTGTCGCACCGCTCAAGTACAAACGCTCTACTCGACCGATTCAGGTCCAAACGGCCAAGGAATTGGAACTGTTGGAGAAGAAACGTCAATCCCTCTTTGAGGAACCAGTCTGAACATCAGTCGATTCATTCGTTCATTCATTTTAAAATGGATGTTCAAGTTTGATTCGTCAATGTGACAGAGCCGAGAATATCCTTTTAGGAGGATACTTTTTGTTCTGGTGATTGTGTCGACGATTTTTTTTCGGAGTGCTTGGCTTTGCTGTGAGCCCTGTGTTCATTTTTTCGTGTGTCGAAGTTGTTTTTGTTGGTTGGACTATCGGCATCGTGGGCAGTTCCAACGGAACAAACCCAGCTTTTGACTTATTGGAAAAAGTATCCCCATGGTTATCTAAGAGGCAGGCGGGCGCCGTCTAAACTCGAAGGAATTCCGAAACAAAGTCAAATCCGTCGTTCCCTTTGAAATCGGTGTCTTCAATCTACCAGCAAAAATTCGATATCACGAGCATCAAGAACATGAAAGACAGCAATCAACAGGTGAATATTCTCTGATGTGATATCCCCCTTGTCACGACCGTCGTTGCACAATCTGTTGGGGCGATACCGGTAGGGGCTTCCTCCCTTTAATTAATTGCGTCAACGAGGACGGCCATTCTCGAGAATGCTCTTCCATGTCCCAAGATTGAATTGGCCAAACACTAACGGTTGTACAGTGTATAGCAGTGGGGGTAGCAAAGAAGATGGCGACGGAAGATTACAGTTCTCAGAATTCTTCACACACTGTTCAAACCATTGAAGGAGACCAACATCCACATCTTCGGACCGCTTCTGCACCTGTACAAGCATGGGCGACACATTACGGTCCTGGCGGCCGCAAGAAGCTTTAAAGTGGTTGAGAACGATTGTGGTGGTTTGTAGAGTAGTATTACCAGTAAAAAACATTGGTCAAATTACTTTTCGACGATTCAGGGGAGCAAAGGAGTCCATGATCGTCCAAAGGAGCTGCTTAATGGCGCACCACTACCGTATCCTACACAATAGTATGTCGCCTGAAACGAGGATGGCATGATGAGTCGACGCAGTTTTCCACAAGATTCTCTTGCGACTCCTTTTCAGGATTCCGGAAGGCCGGAAATGCCTGTACCAATGGAGACCCCAAAAACAGTTTTGGCAAATGTCGACAATGGCGATTCTGGCAGCCATCGTCGCTATAATGCTCTCAGACCACCCAAGGAGAACGAGCTGCGTCTAACTGTTTTAGTGTCGACAAGATTCTTGCCGTACAGATACATGTAGCAAGAGGAGTTGAGCAACGGTAACTGCAGTGTAGGCACCGGTACCGGTGGCATCAGTACCGGTATCCACGTCTGAATCTTTTCTAGATTCTTAAACATGAGGTCGCTGTTGTTGGTGTCAACACTTCGACGGACCTCATCAGTCATTAACTAACTGACCGCATGCAAGTGGCTTCATAACGCTATCATCATCAACCATCATCAATAATACAACATCTGCCGGGTATTCCAAGCTCAGGAAACGTAGGCAGATAATGAGGCAGTTACTATTGAATCCATCATTTCACCGTGCTGGTACTTTTTCAGGTGTTTTGAAAGTGCAGCATCGAAACTCGAGCAGATCAGCCAGATCAGTACATGTAGTAGCTGTAGCAGCAGCTTCAATGAGACAATCAACACTTGCTACAAGCTTTCTTTCTGGACTTGGGCGTCCAAGACACTGCTTCCAACGCTCGGTTCAGGACTGGGTGCGGAGCTTGCCCGCCGAAGAGGCCCAAAGAGTCGAAACATGGCCTCCTCGAGCTTCCGACCGACTCTATGATTGGGAAACGTCTACTCATGAAGTCTATCATGACCCCGAATGCTCCAGCTTTACACCGCCATTTTCCACGGCCCGGCAACGACTCGACTATTCCTATCACTTGAATCCAGCGCCCAGTCGTCAGGCACTTCAAGATTCGATCTTATCTCGAGTAGTTCAAGCTTTACCTAACGACAATACCAATGGAAAATCGCGCCCATGGCTGGTGTTCTCAGCCGGAAGCATGGGTGTCGGAAAGGGATATGTCCTCACTCAGCTACATCAGTCAGGGCTCTTTCCAGCACAAGAGTTTCTCAAAATTGATCCTGATTTCATCAAGAGCGAACTGCCGGAATTTCCCGGGTACAGGGAATTCTCAACCAATCCCTCCTTGGCAGCGACACAAGTGCATCGAGAATCGACAATGATGGCTGACACGTTGCTCGAGCATGCATTGTCTCGAGGAATTTCCACATTGGTGGATGGATCTCTGCGCGATGTGGACCACTATACCGAGTTGCTAGACCGAATTCGAAAAGAATACCCGCAATACCGGGTGGGGCTGATCCATGTCGTGGCAGACCGAGAAATTATTTTTCAGCGTGCCAAAGACCGAGCCGTCCTGACGGGTCGGGATGTTCCGAGACAAGTGCTGGAAGAAAGTATGGAGCAAGTACCTCGATCCGTGCAACAACTCACTCCCTATACCGATGCTACCTTTACGGTTGAAAACAATGAAAATGAGCCTCTGCGTCTGATATCCAGTGACGGTTCTAACCCGTCCTGGCAGGAATTTCGTCGCACATGGACGGACGAGGACACAATCAGCAATACAAAAGGCAACGACGACCCAGGAGTGTGTCAGATGTCATCTTGCTGGGACGATTCCCAGGCTCACGAGGCAGCCAGGCAGATCTGGAGCGAGGCATACCCTAATTTTTGTCCTCGCTGCAGCCTAGTATGTGACGGGCAGTGCGGTTTGTGCATTCACGGAGTGCATGTCTGTGCTTGTCCAGACTGTCGGACCAAAGGTGGTTAGGGAACTTATCGGGTAAATCAAGCTGGTGTGGATTGTTTCACTGCTTGTTGCCCACTACGTACCGGTACCGGTAGCTAGTGTAATCTTCTGCTCGGACTAGTATGTATGAGATTAGATCGCAAACTGGACTTCATGCCGATGCACTAAGGTACAGATACCAAGAAATGCACATGCATAGAATGATGGAAGCGGTGCCGGTGCGTCCGCGCAAGAGATGGGTATCGGTATGTGGTGGAGCCTCTTTGTTGCTGGATGTTATGGCCTGCGACTGAGTTGTAAGCACTTATTCTTGCGCTTCCTTGTTCAATTGCTTCGGACGCCCTCGATTTGATCATGATGACGGTATGGAGTCAACCTTGACGGGAACGCTTACCACAGTCATTGCATCGTTCAGCACTTGGCAGGATCCCCCACAGCGAGATATCATGATCTGGGGTGCCTTGGCACCGGTGTACTATCCGTCTTGCTGGCTACTGGTAGCTTCACTGAGACTCCGCCTCCCATACCGGTACCGGTACCGATCCACCGATGACGATAGGGGGCCGTACCACAGCGTGCCACTTCCGCAAAAACTGCTTGCTAATCATGAATTCCATGTCGCACCCTGCTCCCATTGGTTATCCAACTTCAAGCCTTTCTTGTTTGGTGGATGTACCGGTAACAATTGGGGGCGACTCAAGAATGATGTGGCTGATGCTGACGTATCTTTTGTGCGTGGTACTTGATCCGTGGTACTTCCAGTACGATGATGTACGTGGTCTACGAAGCTCACTTTTTCCCAATCAGAGAAAACAACTCCGAAGTTTCTTCTTTCACCTCCAGCTAACAAACGCACCTTGTCATTGATCTCTGATTGACAGCTCCAGAACGCTAATAATCTTTTTGTCCAAAACATCAAAATGACAAGAAGCTTTGTCTCATCGGCGGCGTTTGTGCCAACAGGAACTGTTGCAAGACAATCAAGTTCTTCATCAATTCCTGAAAACCTTCATGGATCCTTGTCTCAAGATGGCAAACGATTCCGACCGGAGCCGCTGGCAATGATAATGCCCACTGGCTTTGAAGGAGAATTGTTTGGACTGCTGAAAGACACACTCACTGCTGGTGCCACGGGTGGAGCGGGAGACGTGATTGCTCAGCTTGCCGATAAGAGCCGAAACAATGACGAAGACGACAAGGACTTCTTCTTTTCTGAAGAGAAGGAACCCTTTGACCTGGATGTTCGCCGAACCTTATCGTATGCTACCTTTGCAGCCGGCTACACTGGTGCCTTTCAACATGTGGTATTTGCCAATCTGCAAGAGACATTTTCGGATCCTGTGATTAAGCTGGCCTTGAACCAAGGTTTGATCATCCCTTTGTGCTACTACAGCCTGTTTGTTTTCTTGGTACCAAAACTCAGAGCCAGGTCGGCAGCCGAGGAAGAAACTTTGAGAAGCAGCATTGATGTTTTCGCAATGATTCCAAAGAACTGGCTCTTTTGGGTCCCTCTTCAGTTCATTCAGTTCAACTACATTCCAACAGAGTTCCAAGTTATCTACTGTTCATTCTTGGGGCTCATTTGGAACATTATCTTGTCTTTCCTGACATCAGGAGCAAAAGCCAAGACCGAGCCCCCACCCCTCCCCGAGACTGCTCTTATCACTGCTGGATCAGAGGCGATCGAGCAACCTGCTGGCTTTGGGGGTATTTTCCAGACAGCCCAACAAGCCGGTGGCTCCGAGAATCAAAAGTAAAAGCACCCTACCACACTTATGCATGAGGTGTGATTGCCTCTCCAGCCTTTGCTCCACGGGGAGTGGAAGCCCCCTTCCTATCAATGGTCAAAGTCTCCCACAAGGGCGTTTTGGCCATCAACGTATAGAAGCTGCAGCTAGCTAGATACGCTGCCAATTTATTGTATCCACGACACTGCGCCGCACTCGATTTTTGCTCATAAACATTTTGCACTACAAATAAAAAATATCATGGTTCTAGATACTTTCTATCTATCTACTAGTGCCTGGGAGTGCCCTGCGTACAAGATGGTTGTCCACAAAAGTGCGTACAGGCGTCCACATGTGTGGACGGTTGTCGGCGCACTGTCAGAGCCCACGCATTGGTTTCAGAGTGGTGCTAGGAGCTTCTTGCGCACTGAATAGAAGTCAAATCAGTAGGAGCATCTATAATGTCTCATTATCAAGCCGATATAACCATCGGCTGGTCGCCATTGTGTTTGTTGTTGTTTGTTGTTTGCACATAAACCCGATTTTTTCTAGATATCAAATCACGGTCACACATACACCACCGACAGTTGGCTTTTGCCACCGGCAACACATCGCCTTCAATACAGAGCTGCATGTTGCGCCTTTTTCTTCTGCCTCTCTAGATACTCCTCTCGATGAATGGCAATGCATCTCTTGTTGTTATTGGGCCCATACTTTGCCAGATGCTTTCGAGCAGGAGTGTTGGCGCTGCAGACACCAACCCCTTCGATAGTCTTTCCGTTTGTCCAGCTCTTCGTTGATGACATACACTCTGGATGGCTGCATTCATTTCGTGTGTCCTTGCCACAAACTGTGCACCTTCGTCTCGGAAATCGACTCACCACAGCGTCATGGTGGTGCTCTTCATTCTGTGGTGCAAAGAATCCATTCAATGAGGCAAACGAAAGAGGCGATGGGTTGCTTGATGAACAGCACGACAGTGTCAATCCTTCCACTGTTGCTGCAACATGATCAACCCAACTGTTCGATCGTCCTGTGAAAAGAAGCACAATCGTAAGGAAAAGCAGAGAACAACAGGCAATGAGGAACTCAAACTTACGATCGCATGCTGCGTCCGGGGCAAGGTAGGTTCTCGGATCTCGTTCGCTGGCATTGTCGCTGTATGGATTGTGGATGCAATCGTATGCAAGATAATCAGCAAATTCTTCCGCTGTCATGTCCTTCAAGTGTGGACAGTGGTACTTCACGGCTCTGTAGCAATCGGTTGCTGCCATTCCGATGATGGTAAACTGAGTCCTCATCCAGGGATTGGGAGTGCGCCAGTGCCTCTCAAGGCCAATTAAATGCTGTCGGACATGGTTGTGGGTGTCAATAACATTGCTGCGGTTGAAATAGGTGGAGATGCACTCTGGGCGTGGCACCTTTCTTTGACAGACGTTCTGCCACTGGTCCGTAAACTTTGCAACGTATGGTTCTCCTGGAAAGGTAGACGCGGCATTGGCAGTCATGACAAAGCATTTTACTGACTTCGAATTCCACTTGTAGCCGATGGCCTTGAGTTTTATGTTGGTCTCCGGTGTGATGCACTCCATGACAAGATGAGAGCCCGCAGGATAGTTCGCCATCTGTCGCTCCAGTTGCCTCAAAGGAAACCAACCGTAGTTCGCTATAACAGCCGCAATGATCTCCGGAGCGTGTGGATTCTCCCCTCTCTCCTTGTCGATTACGTAGGAGCCAACCTTGTCAGTGTTTGGATCTGTGGGTGGAACTCTCCACATCAGTTTCAAATTTTCGGCAACCTTAACACTTCCAAACCAAGAATCAGCAAGGACGAGATGCTTCCTTCCTGTTTGAAGTGCATTCAGTCGGCTATTTGTTGCTAGCCCTGTATGAATACCACCAAGAATACAACGGAGAGTGCACGCTGCCGTAGCTCCTACCTCCCGCTGGTAAGGCATCTCCCTCATTTCCTTGACAGTACGTTGAGTTTCAATGAAGAGAGCCATCTTTGTTTCGGCGCATGCGGCCATCTTGAATTCGGTTCCAAGTGGCTTTGGTTTTCGCTTAATGTAGGAAAGCTTTGGAAGCTTCGATGTTTTCGTTTTTCGTGGCTGGAAAGCACTCATTCCTTCGTCAAGCACAATGACAGTGCTGCCGGCAACCAATTCTTTTCGAGCCTTGTTAAAATCTTCGACCAATTCAGTTAGTGGATGCCACGCATCCGTCACATCAGCATCGTCGCTGTAGAAGGCTCTGAAGAGCCTTTCCTTGATCTTCTTGAACCGATCCCATGACATATATTTTTTGTAGTTGCCCTTGCCATCGAATTTGGTCTTATCAATGAGGAAATCAAATGGGGAAGTCACTCGCCGTGGATGCTTATGTTCCTTGAAAAGCTTTTCTCCACCGACGTGGTTTGGACAGGCGGCAAAGATAATACCCCATGTCGTCCACCACTCTTTCTCAGACACCAGTGCAATCTTTCTCTTCGGATTCACTCTGTTGTGAGCAGCAATGGCAGCATTCAGATTATAGAGATGCTTTCTCCAATTGCCCGGCCACAACTTGATCAACAATTGGAGCCAAGGGTAGCCATATTCAGAATCAATTGCCACGTCCAGCTTGTCCACATCGAAAGCCCGGAACTGAAAACCAACGACGCCATTAACCTGGAAAGGAACGCAACCGTCGCCTTCCGGATGAGAGTCTTCCACAATCCTCCAAGTCATGCTTCTCATGTCTCGAATGAGTGTCAAAGAAGTCGATGGCACTTTTGTCTCTGGCTCCAAAGCTCCATCAAAATGCACTTCCCAAGTTGGCGGTCCACCTTCCTCTCGATCGCTGGCAATGACCTCTCCATATCGCTGTCGCCCATATCGCTCCTTCACCTTCTCTCCAATGTCAATGCCCTGTGACATGGGAGCCTTCCTTTCCACGCTCCATCCTTCTTGGATCAGCCGAGCCTTGTCTTGTTGATACTCGCGCCATTTCTTCGTATACTTGTCTTCATCCTCCATGCCTTCAACAATGAGCAAGTCATTGGGATCGATGACTGGTTGGCCTTCTTCATCAACGAGATCAACGTCCGTGTGTCTGGGGATGTCTTCTTCAAGGTTTCGATCTGTGACTTGTTCATCTTCGCCACCAGCGATGGAGTCTTCTTCACTGCCGCTGGTTTCAATATTACCGGGAACACTGGTGTAGCTTCCCACACTTCCGTGGACAAATGAATGGGTGGATGACTGGACGGATGCAAGTGTTTGTGACTGGACAGATGAATTGTCCGATGGCTGGCGGACAGAATCGGATGACTTGTCGGATGAATTGACCGATGCTTGATCTGGATCCTCCTTGAATTCAGCTTCAGGTGGGGGATTTGGCTTTTTCTTGCTGCCAGTTTGGCACGCCGACGATTGACTCCGGCCATCACATTCTCCTGGGAGCTATCCGATTCTTCAGATTTGGACTCCTCATCCACTTGCTCTGCTTCTCCTCGACTCGAAGCCACAGTATCATAGATGCTTAGCCTACTTGATGGTTTGGTTGCTCGTCCGGAACAACGTGTTGCTGGTGCTGGTGGTGAAGACGGCTCATCATTTGGTGGTGGTGGTGGTGATGGTGGTGGTGATGGTGGTGGTGGTGGTGATGGTGGTGGGGATGGTGGTGGGGGTGGAGCCACTGCCACGGGTGGAGCCACTGCCACGGGTGGAGGTCTCGTTTCTGCTGGTGAAGACTTCTTCTTGCCCTGACGACGATCCTTGGGTTGGCTTGGTGGCGCAATTTCCGGAAATTTCTCATTGGGTTTGAGGTGGCGAAGCTGTTGCGATTTCAAAGTCCTGGCATCGGAAGCGACTTGATTTCCTTCATCATCAATGGGATGAACAACCCACGTCTTCTCGCCGCTTGCTTCTTTGATAATGGCGGGGAGATTGCCAGACTTGATAATAACTTTCACGCCCTTTCCGAAGCGTCGGCTGTTGCCCATTGTCGATGCTGTCGATCAATCCAAGCAAGCAAGTCGATCGAAACTGAAACTGTGCTATGGAACATCCAGCCAGTTTCCGGAAAAGCTATCCGTTGGCAGTGTTGGCAGCGTTGGCACAACCATCATCGTTCCCTTATAAGCTTGAGGAGCGTTCCTTTGCGTCGCGAGAGCATCATCATTGTCATGTGGTTTCTCTTTGTTGCGCACCTTTCGGATCTTTATCTAAGATCTTCGTGCCGGATAAAGGTTGTATGAACAGCGAATTATCGAATTTGCTTTGAGTGGTGTTTGGCTGGATGGCGACAAGTCAAATAAGTAAAATCCGTGTGACATCATTATATTTTTATTCGCTACGATTAAATGAATAAACTCGTTCGCGGAAGATTCGATCTCTCTGCATGGCCATATTCGCAGTTGATCCAACCAAAGAAAGATAAAAGACACACGATGGTGGTCCTTTTTCACAAACAAAACGATATACCGGCACGAACGATGGTTAGTCATAGTATGGGGTGGAGCCGGGACTTCCAAGCTTAGCAAGCGTTTCAGAAAGCTTTTCGACTTCTTCCTCTTCGTAGTCGAGGCAAAGTTCCGAAGCGCTCAAATACGCGGTCTCTTGAGAGAATCCCTGGTCATAGGCATTGATGACGGAACTTCCTTTGAATGGAGATGGAGAGCCCATGCTACTCTCGCAAATGGAAGGAGACGCAAAGGGAGGAGACGCCATGTGAACGTCGCTCTTGTTGCTCTTGTTGCTCTTGGTGCTCTCTGGACTGAGAAATCCAACCTTGGCTGCACGCTTGCCAGATGGATCAGAAGAACCGGGCTTCGCCATGGGAGTCGCGTAACCTTCATCCTGACCTTCCTTCTTGTGGACAAAGGGCATCACAAACTTGAGTTCAACGGGAGGGCCTTCGTTCATGGTGAAGACAATCGTGTCATCTTCTTCGATCTTGATACTTTTGGCACCGTCGATAGACATGGCCATTTTGATAGGTTGGTCGTTGGTAGTCATGATCGATGGTAAGCTGTGTTTTGTTGCCTTGCACGAGCTGCTTTTTGTGTGCTGCTGCTCACCGGTGCTTTCTTTTGTCTTCTCACCAAAACTTTGGCAGTCCGAGCGGTCGGAGCCTTCAAATTTTTCTTGCACATGGAGCAACATTCTTTCTTCTCTGTTACTAACACTCGGTTTGGCGCTTCCATTTGGCGGGGTGGAGATTCAAACCATCCAGAAAAAGGAGGCTCCACCTGAACGTCTCTACAGGCACAGCAACTGCGGACTCTCATTTTCCACGATGGCTGAGTTTTGGACAGCAGTTGAAGTACCGAATCCTACCAACGGAGTGAAGGCTCCCTTGCCTATGTGCTCGAAACCCAAGGGGCCGCGTCAAGCACATGCCATGGCATCTATTCGCTGGGAGACGTACATTGGCTCCAAGCACCACTCTAAGGGTCGGATTACTTTGCAGCAACGACATGATAAGAAGAAATGCATCCCTCGCTATCGTCTTCTTCTTGAGGCTCGCCGCGTCTCCCTTGACGGCCTAAGAATGAGTGATGCGGTGTACTTCGACAGTATTCGACTTCCAGTTAGGTGCAGGTGGGAGTCTGAAGAGAACGAATTGAACAATTTGGAGGCTACAGTTGTGAGCAGGAATCGGCTTGGCAAGGTTGTTTCACTTGAGTTTCCTCCCAGCGTATTTGGCATCAAGAAGATCGAAATCAGCATGACTTTGGCTGGAGGGCACATCATGGCAGAGGCGGTCAAGCTTGCAGACAAGGAGCGCAAAGCCATCCTCTTCGGTGGAGCCTGAACATCAACAACAACAACCACGGATGTGGCTGCGTTGGACGACCTGCCTCCACCTGATTTCGGTTTCCCACCGCCGTATTTTGGCGAAAAGTGGGGTTTTCCGGGGAAGTTTATTTGGTCAGCAGCCGTGGACAACACAATTCATCCAAGACAATGGCCATGCTATCGACGGAGATAGCTCTACAACAACGTAACCAATAGTCAATGCGATTGTATCAGCAGTTAGCCCTATGTGTCTACTTTCATTTAGCCCCTGGAAGCAAGTGCAACGGAGGTCTGTAGCCAAAGCAATGGCCTCTGCCGTAACAGCGCTCCTCGTCCACACATGTGGACATCAGTCAGCACAACACTGCCAGGCACTAGCTAGCTAGCTAGTTACGTTGCTTTTGTTGAAAAACTAAACTAAAGGGCCGGTTCAGGTTGGCTATCGTTGCATCGGGCGGGCTACTCCTCTGCGTCCACAGAGGTTTCTTTCCAAAGCAAACCATGCTTGCCTAACACCTTGCTACGAGAAAGTTGGCTGGTGCGAAACCAATATATCTATACAACGAGCAATGAGTTCCGAAAGAAAACAGAAGTGGACAGAAATGAAAGAGTGCTGGCAAACTCGAAACTGTTCGGACTCTTCGAACCGCAGGAAGAAGCTTCCATCAGCAGGAGTACCTTTCTAAGAAGGGAACACTATACAACAACAAAATGGCCTTTGAAGGCTACGTTGATTCGATTCCAGGCGAGTCCTCCTCAAACAGCCCAATATCCTCATTTGAGCTGGCTAGACACTGGTAGAACTTCTAACCACGGTTGTAGCATAACAGAAAGACAAAGACGAAAAGCTGTCAATAGAAGCGTTCTCAGCAGCACCTAGACTACAGGTATTCATGACAATTGTTTGTCTATTATATAATAGATTAATCATGTATGTAGATACCACATCTCGGCATCAAATTCTTTCGATTTGTCCTTTTTGATCAACTAAATTCTTTCAACCCCCAACTAATCAAACGAAATGCTCAAATCAAAGTGGGACAATCGTCGCGCAAGTGCCCTTCATCCGCACACTGAGTGCAGATATCCACCTTGCCATCTTTGGCTTCCAGCAAGTTGTTGCAGTAGCATGAAATGACACGCTGCTCAAAGGATACCCCCGATTTTGGTCCAAATTTGCGATCATTTTCAAACCCCTTTGGAATCACGTAATACTCGTCCACCAGCTCGAATACTTTTACCGTCGTGGGATCCAGTTCGCTCTCGCCTTCTCGCACGTACGAAACATTCTTGTGAATGTACGATTGAACGTAACCATCGTCGTCGCGTTTCTTCGTTGGCTTGCCGTCGTCGCTTTGGCTTTTCTCGGGCGGCGTCACCACTGCTGCTTGTTTCGTTCGAGACGAAGGAGTGCTAACGGCGTCACTGGTAAAGAAATCCTTGATTTCCTTTTTCGCCTTTTTCTTGACGGGCGACGAATCGTCATTGGCGAAAGTCAAATCCACGACATTTTCTTGTTTTGCTTCCTCCTCTTTTTTGTTGAACTGAAGGCTGCGCTTGGCGCCTCGCTTGTTGCTGCGACCCTTTCGTGATGACATGATGGTGGTTGTGGGATCTGATTAGAACACTCGCTCTCTTGGGTGGTACTAGTATCTTTGGCCGCAAGTTCTGGTGGCTGCCTATCGTGTTGGTGGATTTGTATGCTTGGTGGGAATGAAGCAAGAAGGCTCTGGATCGCTGGTTTGCCGTTTCTTACCAAAAGAAAAACGAAAGAAATTTCATTCCGAAAGGTCCCTTTGGGTCGAAATCGATCCAGCAAATTGCCCAAATTGGACTTTCTAGTTAGCCGGCGGTGCCAAAATCGGCCTGGCGTTGATTCAGAAGGATTTAAGCTTCTTTAGCGACGGGTCATTATGCATACTTACCGTAGGATTGATTTCACTTCAGCTATCCACAATGCATAGCTAGCCAGCCAATCAAAGGTTGGGTGGCGGGCCACCAATTGCAACCGAGACTGAGTGGAATCGAATCCCAATGAACGCAAGGAGACGAGGCCCATATTACTTCTGCGCCAACAGATAAGAGGGTTCAGGCGGAGATGGTGCCCGGCTGAATCACCTTCGGGCTGTCTGAATGAACGTCCAACATTACACCTACATCGTAATCAACAGTTCAGATCATCCACTCAACAGCCAACGTCTTCCCGAAAGGCACCAGATTGCTTCCAGCCGGCTTTCCCTTTCGAGTTTCGAATCATCCGAAAAGGCTCCTTCAGCTTGTAAATGCTTGCTAGGTTACACAACGCGTAAGTCTATCTCCTTTCGATCAACCGTGTCCCCGTGGAGAGCTTCGCCATCCATGAACTTGAACTTGCCCACAAGCATAGATCCTCTTTACTAGCTAAGCTGGTTTCGGTGAAACGCCACCGTTGCATTCCAGCAGTACCCGAGTAGCCTATCCTCCAGTGGCAGCCAGGTTCCAGCAGTCCTCACATTGCTCTATCCGCTTGGGGTCTTGCTGGGCGATCGCCGCCCCAAGGTTGTTCTTTCTCAACTGTTCCAATTTGGATTGTGGTATCTCACTGCTGTGCCAGATTCTGCCTCCATCTAGCTTTCCACAAATTCAAGTTCACGTTGAATTGGCCACAGTGGGCAACAACAAAATCCACAGCCTCTAGATCTACTCTGAAGAAATTACAATTCTCCCGTACTGTAGAATACTGCACGCGTAGCAACTAAAATTACTGCTCATTTTTACACAGCCAAATTCATTTGTTCAACAAGCCTATCTCTAACCTTAAAAGAGCATGCCCTTTGAATCAAAGTCTTTTTGAGTGCGTCTTGAATTCGGCTTTTTTTCAGCATCGTCTCCTGTTTCCTCAGTTTGCTTGCTACTTGGATCCTTATGACGAATACATGCACAACCGAATATTGTCAATCCAGCCATTGTAGCCCGCTACCGTACAGGTACATCGGCAACAGTGTCAACAGTACCGAACACACTCAGGTTCCGCTTTACTTGCTACACTCCATTACTGGTACCTTGCATTGGATCCTTATGACGAATACATGCACAACCGAACATTGTCAATCCAGCCATCGTAGCTAGCTACCGTAGAGTTCATGCATCGATCGGTGACAGTGGCAATAGTACCGAACACACTCAGGTTCGACTTTGCTCGCTGCACTCGGTTACCTCGCATTGGATCCTTATGACGAATACATGCACAAAACCGAACATTGTTAATCCAGCCATTGTAGCAGGCTACCGTACAGTTACATCGGCGACTGTGTCAACAGTACCGAACACACTCAGGTTCCGCTTTACTTGCTACCTCCGTATTGGATCCTTATGACGAAATACATACAAAACCAAATTGTCAATCCAGCCATCGTAGCAGTTACGTAGAGTTATCGACGTGACAGTGCAACAGTACCGAACACACTCAGGTTCGACTTGCTCGCTGCACTCGGTTACCTCGCATTGGATCCTTATGACGAATACATGCACAAAAACCGACTATTGTTAATCCAGCCATTGTAGTCGGCTACCGGTACTGTACAGTTACATCGGCGACAGTGTCAACAGTACCGAACACACTCAGGTTCCGCTTTGCAGGCTACACTCCGTTGCTGGTATCTTGCATTGGATCCTTATGACGAATAGACTACATGCACAACCGAACATTATGAATCCACCCATTGTTGCCGGCTGCGGTATAGCTACATCGACGACAGTGGCAACAGTACCGAAAGTTCGGCTTTGCTCGCTACGGTTACCGGTACCTCGCATTGGATCCTTATGACGAATACATGCACAACCGAATATTGTCAATCCAGCCATTGTAGCCAGTTACCGTAGAGTTACATCAATCGGTGACAGCGCCCTGAGCACTGTTCCTGCAGGAAAATGGATATCAACACAGAAATCACCACCAAACCACTAGGAAATAACAAGGAGGGATGAATCCGGTCAGATGATCCACTCTCCTCTGTGCCTGTGTGTTGTCGTGTAGCCTTCTTCGGTTGACGGATGTTGCCATTCAATGACTCGATGATGATTCGTTCAGGAGTTAACAGAGCCTAGCGGTAGCCTCTCCTCTTGCTGTTATCCAGAGCGATCGATCGTTCGTTGGAGGATTTGTGCATACAGGAAAATTGATACCGACACAGGAATCACCACCAAAATAGTAGGAAATAACAAAGGAGGGATGAATCCAATCGGAGGATTCATTCTCTTGTGTGTTGTCGCCTCCTCCGGTTAACTGTTGCCTTTTCAATGACTCGACGACGTTCAGGCTGCTGATAGGGCTTGAGCTAACAGTCTCCTCCGTAGCCTCTCCTCTCTTGTTATCCGAAGCAATCGTTCGTTCGTTCGTTCGTTCGTTCGTTCGTTCGTTCGTTCGTTCGAAAAGACTCCACAATGGTAGTTCCTCGGCCGTCGGCAGAAAGAGAACAGAAAGTAAGAAATAGATATGCTTTTCTCTTCTCTTCTGATACTGAAGAAAACCGGCGACTTACCCTTGTTCTCCAACTTGGCCGTCATGGGCCGAGAACTGACTGCCATCCCATGGTCCATAGGATTCAATGAGGGATGGTTTTCCAATCTACACCGGAGACGACCGGCTTGACTGAGGCTTGGATAACAGAGGTGCGACCAATCGATTCGATTCGAATAATTAAAACAACTCACCTGTTGACGGCCGAGCTTGGAATTCTCTCCTGAATACCATAGAAATCCAATGAGGGAGAGAAGTCAGTGCTGTACCTTCAATAACACTATTGATATTACTGTATGCTTACACCATTGCGATCGATTCGATCCATCGGCCGATTGGATAAAGCACTCACCATTGTTGTCAGCCAAGCTTGGATTTCTCTCCTGTTTACCATAGGAATACAATGAGGGAGAGAAGTCAGTGCTGCGCCTTCAATAATAACACACTTTTATTCCACGAATCAATCTAAAAATTTCGAAAGGGAACTTGTTACTTAACGATACACATGACCGTTGATTCTGCAACTGAAGTGCGGGTACACTAATTTACACAGTAAACGCGAGCCAATCGATTTCAGAGTGCAACTGAGGGGGTAACCAAAAGGTGCGCCGTCTCAAGGAGACGGAATTCTTTGTGGCCTCCACACGGCCAATTCATTTTGATTCCGTACCACAGTTCCGTAATATTTTGCTCAATCAAGCGGTAACAAATTAGTTTGTCGGTCATGCCCATGCGGAAGCGGGATAGTGAACGGACCGCGCTCTTCTATGCTGCGGTCCCGCGCTGCTTCCTCCGGAGCCCCACGGACGAAATAGAAGAACGTCTTCCGCGACAGTCTGTGGACGCTGCGTGGTTCCAGCGTTGTTGACGAGGGAGGATTTTCGCCTCATCACACACATGGATGGAGGCAAGCAAGTCTGATTGGTGTGTTGTTGTGGATGAACGAATCGATACGAAAACAATAGACAACAAACAAACGAATACAATTGTATAGTAGTAGTGATTAGTATAGGTGTGCGAGCGAGTATAGTAGTGCCATGCATAGGTAGAGCCCTGACAACAATGGTAAGTTGGTGTTCTCATCGGTCATCCCCGCGGAGGTTCCAGGGAGCCAAGATATGGCGGCTCTTTTGAATGGCCTCCTCTCTCTTTTAGTCGGCGAAGGCGGCACCATGGCGTACCCCTGAAAACCTGAGCATCCAAGAACACATGTAACTCATCGTTGTGCTTCCCTCTCTCTCCCTCATCTCTAAGCAGTTTAACATTCTGTCCAGCACGCCGGCACCCATCGTCTCCGAGTCTTTGTATGTGGAGAAGGCTCCTTTCAATGGCGGAGAGGGCGGGAGTAGATACGATGATCGCCTCCTCACTGGTAGTGTGAGTGGTCATAGTATGTTGAGTAGTCCCACTCATCATCATCATAGCACCAGTACAGCCCGATCGTTTCCCGAAGACGAGCATGATCAGCAAGAGAAAGACATTCGGAACAACAACGGCAACAACAACATCAACCACAGCCACAAGAAACGAGGCCGCCGTCGTCGTAAAGGCAAGAGTCGCAGCAAGGTAGAACCCCTCTCTCCGTACAAGAAGAGTACCAGTCAAACCATGCCTTGCAGCAATAGTAAGAAACAACACGACGCTCCCATGACCAAGCGTGACATTTACTTTGCCCTGGACTGCGAAATGGTCGGCGTGGGACAGGATGGCCTCACTTCGGCCGTAGGAAGAGTGTCCATTGTCAATTGGGAGAATCAAATTGTCCTCGACACGTATGTACGAGTCCCTCAACCCATTACGGACTATCGCACGTATGTGTCTGGAATCACTCCGGAGCATTTGCAGCCTCGACCGGGCCACCCCTTGATGACCTTTGCCCAAGTGAGAGAAAAAGTACAGTCGATTCTCCGTGGGAAAATCTTGATTGGACACGCTCTGGAAAACGATTTGAAAGCGCTCGGATTGTACCATCCTTGGACCGATATCCGAGACACGGCCACCTACACGTACTACATGAGGCAATTCCGAGACCCCGTCTCGCAGTGTGTTTCTTATGTTCCGAAAAAGCTTCGAGATTTGGCGTGGGAAAAGCTAGGACGCCAAATACAAATGCCGGGAATGCCGCACTCGCCCATGGAAGATGCCGTGGCCGCTCTTGATCTCTACAAGGAAGTTCGTGGACAGTGGGAAGATCATCTCATTCGAGTGGCGCAGCAAAAGGACGAAGAGCAACAACGACAATTGATGGAACGGCGTCAGGAAGAACGACAGAGGCAGCAACAACAGCAGCAGCAACAACAACAACAGCAACAGATGCGTCGCTTTCAGTGGTTGGGGGCTCCTGCACCCGCACAAGCACCAATCTACCCCATGATGCATCCGGTGCCACCCTCGCCGACCTATTCGCGCTACCCAGCACCCATGATGATGATGCCCCCACCGCCGCACAGTCCGGCGGCTTCGGCCTTTTTGCAGGCACCCGCATCATCTCCGCCGCAACCGACCATGCGATCCAGTGGATGGTTTGGATTCTCGAGGAGACCCAAACCGTCTCGACAGGCCATTCCCTCGGCCGTCTCGCATGACTCAACGTCGACCAGCACCACGGTCCAATCGTCCTTTTCGCAAGATCAATTCGCTTCTCCGAGAGGTGCTTGGCATGTGCGAGAAGAACTGGCCGAAGCCGACATTGCCATGGAGGCCTCACAAGAAGCGATCCTGGAAGAACCGGTTGCGGAAACACCCGTCGTGGTGGAAGACATCAAGCATGTCGATTGCTCCGAGACGACGCAGACTAGTACGTCCCTTGAAGAATCCATCACGGAAGAGTCCACCACCTCGACGTCAACCGAAGAGTCACCTGCCGACTATGAACCGCCACGATACTTTACCAACCCGGATCCAGAACCCATGTCGTCCTCGTCGTGGTTCAAGTTGTTTTCGCGTTCGTCCAAGACCAATTCGACCAGGGGAGACTCGGATTCAGACTCTGAACAGGAAGAAGAACAAGCGCCCAAGATTCGTCGATCGTCGGAGACGGAAACCTTGTCGAAGTCGCTCTTTTCCAGTAGACTCTTTCCACGAAGAAATTCCGAAAGTTGCATGCAAGAATTGGCAGAGAGGGAAGTGGATGAGCATTCCAAGTCTCTGCATTAGGTAGTGGCAGCAAATTGGTGCGGCTTGGCTAGGGCGAGGAGCCAAGACGAATACAGCAACAACAACAACAACAACACACCCACACAACCAACCGAACGTCAAGATACATTTTACACATGCTACTGGTACCCCTTTCTTCGTTTGCATTGGTTACATACATGTATTTCCATCACAATCCGCATTCCATCACACGTCCAAATCATTATTCATTTATGTGATATATTTCATTATATACTGATGCATGCTTACACATGGGATAGTAACAGGTTAAGCGAGCTTACTATCGTGTTTACTATGCTGTTCTTTTGTATTATTCGATCATGTCGTGTTGCCGTCTTCCGTCAGGGGAGCGGCGCCGTAGCAACGCAACTAGTAGGCCGCTTCCTGGTGTGTTCTCTGGTTCTGCACAACCCACGGACACGAACAAAAAGCAAACAGGACCATACCGAAGCCAATCTCTGCGCCTATGGAGAGAAGAGAACGATTGCTAATAACGACAGAAATACGGGTTCAGAGCGACTGATTCATCGAATCGAATGAATCACCTCTGAGGTTGTCAGAGCACAAACTGCAGGTTGGTTGGCTAGCTTGACACCGGTGTTGGGAGGGTTGGGGAACATAGGATGCGAAACAGATCCCAACGATTGCCCTGCCGCCACCTAGGACTGGCTATTAGTACTAATGATTGGATGTTATGCTGCAGGTGATTAGAACTGGATCAGAAACCCCTCCGATTTCATACCGACGATGGTTCCTGATTATTTTCTCATTCGAAATTGTCAAACGTTTTCTTTTTATAGTTTCTTCCGCTCCTCTCCAAACTTCACGACGACATGCATTCAAAAGTCAAAACAAAAAAACACAACAAGAAATGATAGCTCAGCCAGCCATCAGTCCTAGCTGGTGATTGGCGTCAAAGTGCGTCCTTGGCCCTTGACCTCCTTGACTACAACAAGAATTGGCTCTCTCTCCGAGGTACCTCCGGGCAGTAGATCGCCATCACCAAGGTCATTTCCACTTTTTTCGTCCACACCGGGAACATAGAGATGAAGATCATCGGCTGTGGCTCCTGCCAATAGTTTGGCACTGCGGCCAGTTTTTCGGGTTGCAAAAATGTGTTCCTTGAGTTCCTTTCCTTTCTCACCACCTTCAGTTCGAATGTAGTAAGGGACAATATCCCCCTCAATTTGGTACCAGCATTTGTACAACGACATGTCCATCGGGTTGGGAATGTAGGGGTCTGGCTTTGGAGCTGCCGCAAGATTATTTTTTATCAAGGCAGAACATATTTGATTCGATTCGAATATTAGAAAGAACAAATAATGCACGCAACAAACAGATCGACAAATGAACATGCAATAACCTACCTTCAGGTTCCGGCTCTGGCTCTGGACGAGGTTCTAGAGGTGGAGCCATAGGAATTCCAGGTCCATCCATGGGGCCAGCAGGTTCTGGTTCTGGAGCCGGTGGAGCTTTCGGCTTTGGTTTGGGTTTCGGGCTCTTTTTGGGACTTTTGGGTTTAAAGGTGAGTGGCTCAATTTCAGGTCGAGCCATAGGTTTGGGTGGGGCCTTTGGTTTCGCATCATCTTGCTTGGGAGGATCTGGATTGTAGGGGGGCTGGGCGTAGAGTCGTCGTTCCTCGGGGGTAAGATCTTGGTAGTCGCGGGGGACATGGACAAAAATAGCATTTTGCTTGGAAGAGCCCGTTGGGATCTTATCAGTTGGCTTGAGCGGCTCTTTGTCCCTCCAATCTTCTTTGGTGACTCCCAATGGGTAAATCTCAATGTTCTCAGGTTTGCAGCGGTCGATGAGAGGCCCTTTGTTCAGGAACTTGAGCGCAGACTGGAAGCTGGCGATGGTATCCTGGCCACCTCCGGGATCACAAATGCAGGGCAAGCCCTCGTCCATAATGTAGTGATACTTCACCATCGTACAAACACCTCAGCTACAAGCTAGACAGAGCACAATCTCGTACCGGTAGTAGCCTTCAATGAGCAACGAAAAGAATGAGGTTGCAAGAAGCACATTCATTCAGCAAGAAGCACAAGAAGCATGCATGAAAGCTGAAAGATCTTGCTTCCACGTCGTCCTGGGATCCAAGCAAGGTAAACCGCGATCCCTCAAAGATCCAGTCAGTGGTACCAGCGTATCTTTTTAGGGTTTGGGTCAGGCCTCTACAGTTAACGCTCGCTTATATTTATAATCTTATATTTATTCGCTCTATAATATTTATTATATCTCGAGTTCCCAACCCCCCAGTCACGAGTGACCGTGAATGACCCTTCGCAAATCTGGTAGCAGCAAAACAATCGCTCGCAATCCATCGCAAACCGTCCAATTCGACAGAGACATACATGTAAATGCCAATGTATGCCAATGCATGCCGATGAGGTGCCAATGGGAGTTCGCTTGCCTGTCCATTCTCTGCCAGTCCGCGCAAATCTTCGTTCGTGGGGTTTTTCATGGTGTTTTCGCGAGATTTGCGCAGAATGGCAGAGAGGAGACAAAAACAATTCTCTGAGCAACAAAACAAGTGCAAGCAAACCATAACAATTCCTCCAATCCGACCTAGACCAACATGAACGGCGCCGATTCAACCGCAACGAAGAAGAAAGGAGCGAAGAGGGGACCGAAAGAAGGTTCAAAGAATGATGTAGCCAAAGCGAAGAACAGATCTGACTGGTACAAGCCTGCCATTCCTTTCGTACAGAGTTCAAGCACATGCAGCCAAGTCGTTCCTGGCATCTTCCGCATCCGGATCCAAGTTCTCAGGAACGCAGTCGGAACAGCAGAGTTTTGGTCGTTACCTGAAGCAATACGACAGCAAGACTTTGGTTGGTAGCGACAAATCCAAGCGACATGTTGCGCCAAAGTATCCGGAGTTGGAGAAGAGGCTTGTTGCGTACATGGATCTGCGCCAACAACGAGTCAACAAGGACCATTGTGGACTGTCGTACATCACGTTGAGAGCCAAGGCACTTGCTTACGCAAAGCAGCTCGGTATACCGGAAAAGGAATTCGGTGCCTCCGATGGATGGATTACCAAAGTCCTCAAAAGAAATGATAGAGTTGGCATCAATCTGCATGGAGAAGCTGGCGACATCGACGATGCAACGAAGCAGGCAATCATGAAAAAGTGGATGGACGAGGAGTTCCATCCCCTCATTGAGAGGTACAATGTCCCTGCCAGTCGCATCTACAATGCTGATCAAACCGGATTGTACTATCAAAAGATCCCCAACCGCATTTATGTGGAAAAGGACAAAGCCAAAGACTTCGCCGGGGCGAAGCAGATGAAAGACAAGACGAGAGTGACACTCATGGTTTGCACATCCGCCGATGGAAAGAAAGTTCCCCTCAGTCTGGTTGGTAAGGCCAAAAAGCCAAAGTGTTTCCAACTGTGGGCGAGAATGGAAAGCCACCGATGGCATACACCAACCAAAGCAATGCGTGGTGGCTTAATACAGTGTTTGTTCCTCACCATGTGAAACGGTGGGGTCATACCGATTGCATCCTCTTGTTGGACAACTGCAGTGCTCACAAGCTGGAGGACTGGGATGTCCTACCTTCCTGGCTCCATGTTCTGTTCCTTCCACCCAATATGACTAACACATATCAACCTGCAGACATGGGCATGATTGCTGCCCTTAAAGTAGGATACAAATGCATCATGCTGTCTACTTTGCTTGATCTCTTTGACGTTGAAGGAGGCTACGAAGCCTGTGCCAAGCGGCGACTCAAAACAACGAAAGGGTGCAGTGGCTTGGCCGTTGGAGGCAAGGCACATCTGCTTGATGCCATGACTATCTTGAATGACATTTGGAACCAGGATGGTCGCTATGCAAAGGAGAATGGTGTCAGACGCTGCTGGAGGAAGGCCGGCATCCTTCCCATCGCCATGGAAACAGCAATCAATGTTGACCTTGGATCCAATTCAATCCCTATGAAGGACAAGGTAATGAGCAAAGAGGATTCTGATGACTTGTGTAACCTCATGAGTGCTCTCCAAGTCAAGGCTCAAGAAACTCAGGTTGATGTGGCCAGGCACGCCATTGCATTGCAAGGATCGTTCGCTGCTGATTTCGACAGGTACTCTAGGGAGGATGTGCTGCAGATGTTAGCTAGTAAAACTGCAGCTTATTGGGGAGTAATTTGGTTTTGGATTAAGCTGTAAAGCAAAAGTGAGGATTTTCTGGTGGTGCATAGCAATTCTTGTGATTGAATTGGATATAAGGACCCCGCAACACTTTAGACCTAAAACTCCCTTGGTTTCCTTGCATGATCAATTTACATGCGAACCGGACTAGATGATAATACACGAGTCAATAGTAAAGAGTGGTCAGGTTGTTCTTTTCCTCCAACACACTCCCTGCACGGTGCCCTAAGTGGCTACCGTTGAACGAATAAAATAAATTAGGCAATCAAACAAGGGGGTGGATGCCCCATGATGAAAGCCCTGTGCTCGTGGAAGAGATTGCACTGAAGGGGCTTCGTGAAAAAATCTCACGCATTTCCAAGGTTGGGTAGTACACAACTCTAAGGTTGCCTTTTCCCATCTGGTCATGAATAAAAAGAAACGAATGTTGATAGCCCGAGTTCTTTTGCCCAAACTGCCTTTGCCATTCTCTGCAAGAATGATTGTGCTTTTGTTGTCCTGCATGAGGATGTTGTCCTTCACCACGATCCCCTGCTCTTCAAGGAAACAACTTTGCCCACAACATGGGCGACATGACATCGTCAGCTCCAATCAATTCCGCTTCAGTGCTGCTCCTTGAGTTGAGCTTCTGTTGCGCGGATACAGAAAGCACCGCTCCTCTTCCAAAGGACAGTACTCCTCCTGTATGGGAGCGGTAATCAGGATGGACTGCAAATGATGCATCCACCCAACAAGTGATGACACGGATATCATCAACGTGGATTATCAACTTGTCCTCCACTTTTTGGTCCAGGAACTTCAATCCTTGGATCAATTTCCCCCAGTCATCAACTGTGGGATTCCTCACACGTGTGCAGAGAACAATTGTCAGTGTCTGAACATCTGGTCTTGCTCTCTTACACGCGAACAACAGCTTGGCTGCGTTGGTGTGATAGATTTCTCTGGTCTTGTCATCCAAAGCAGCTCCATCACCAGAACTGAATAAATCGGCAGGTGCCGCGCTGGGCACCTTCTTCATTTGCTCGAAGTCCGCCGGGAACTCCAAGATCATCTTCTTAAGATAGTCAATCATGTCAATGACTACCTTGCCTGGATCGGAAAAGTCCACCGTCATCCCCAAGTAGTCATGCTTGGGACCACGGGTTGCCTTCACGGCTCCATAGGTGCCGTACTTGTCATTGAACCACTCCAGGGTTCTATTGTTTACCAGTTTCATCCGATGGCTCGACATCAGGTCGTCCACATGGAAGCGTATCGTCTGCTGATATCCTTCAATCATCCTGTTGGCAACACACGGATCATACTGGTTGAATACGAATCCGATTCCCTCCAGGTCGCTCCTGAAGAGCTTGTACCAGAGCAATGCTGCCAAAACCATTCCGTAGATGGCTCTTTCCACAACGACATAGAGGATTGGTCGTCCCTTCTTGTAGGTCAGGAAAGAGGCATATGTGTCAGAATCAATTTCGACAAGTAAGTCTGCAAGGGTTCCTTCAATGATCATGAGGGCCCTGTCTTCACCTTGTTTTGCTTCTGGCATTGGGGTTTGGATGACCGCATTGGGAACATCCAGGGACATAACATCCCTATCTTCAGATGCATCGACCAACATGGATAACATCAAACCTCAAGTGAAACTGTTGGGCTTCTGGCATCTCTTTCTGATGGTACACCCTGGTAGGTTTCCCATTGTAGAATGCACGGGCCTTGACCGTGCCATCGCTTTTCTCACTCACAAACATGAGTGCCATTTGTGCCTTTTTCAATTCAGATTCACTGCATTTGTTTGGGTCGACTGACTGAAACACACTCTGCTGTGTAGCTGGTCCATCTCTTTTAGCGCCGCCTTTCTTTTGGCTTTGTTGCCCCACACTTTCAGACCCTTGGTAGAAGATGTTGTTGGGCGTGGCTGCTCTCATCTTTGACTTCTGCTGTGGCACTCCTGTGATTACAGGAGTCCATGTACACAGCTAGATGTTTGCTTGTCTCTGTCTCGTACAGTAGTGGTTGCTTCGCTTCGTCATTTTGGACGAAGGTGACTCCTTTTCTTTGCTTCGGCTGTGGCGATTCGAGCTGAGCGTCTAATTCCAACTCGGGGAAGCTTGGAAGCCTTGGCTGGTCTAGCGAGGTTTCCATCATTGTATCCACTGCTGGTGCAGTCTCTTCAACTGTAGGGTTGTTTGGACTTGTGCTTGTTGGGATCTTGGAATCCCTCTTTCTCCTTCTTCATCGGAGTCAATGTCTGTGGCATACTGTTTGGATGTCCTTGGTACTAGCCCTGGGGCGTTCCACTCCTCAGAATCTTCATCTGATTACCGACGCCATGAAGTCCAAGCTTCGAGGTCTAGGAGACTACGAGGATGCAGTCAAGCTGGATCCCATTGAGTTGCTCAAGAGGATCAGATTGATAGTGATGCAAGGCTCAACCAAAGAGATTCCCATTGCTCCAATACATACAAGACCATCCAACGTGGCTTGTTCCCAAAGCAAGGCGACCATGACAGAGTTGACTTCTACTTGAGAAAGGTCGACAGCGACGTGGATCAAGTGTATGACCTGGTCGGAACAGAGGTCATTGATGTCAGGACTATCGGTTTGGCTGAATACAAGGCCGCACCAGATCACGATGCACAAGAAAAGATACTAGTGACGGAAAGGGCTAGGTTGAAAGCAACCGTGGCCTACCATGGACTACAAGAGGGAAGATACGGAGATTACCAGAAGACTGTTGAGGCAGCCTATGCCATGAACGGTACCATCCAATTCCCTGATACCCTTGATCATTTAGAGAGACGCTGTCCAATGACAGATTCAAGCCCAGCAAGGAATGGCTGGACCAACGGAAGGCCAAGGACCGGAAGCCATATTCCAATCCCAAGCCACCTCCTTTTGATCCCAAGAAGATGAAGGAAGGGCTCCCAGCTGCTGTCTACTATCAGCAGTCCCAGCCAGGCGAAGCCTGCTACTGTTGTGGAAGCCCAGATCACAAACTTCCACAGTGCAAGGTCAAGTCCAAGATTCCCAAGCCCGAGTGGCAATCAACAAGTTCAATGGCATGAAGAAGTCCTTCATGCCACAGTACCACCAACACCAGATGCAGCTACTCCAGGAGTGCCCACCACAGTGGTGACGGCGCCAGCTCCAGCTCCAGCTGGAGACTCTTCGAGCAGGAGTGGATTCAGTGGAGTCCCTCCACCTCCTACGAGCCAGTCGAACTTTCAACAGTTTCCCATGTCAAGCCAAGCCTCCAGGCAGCGCGGCAGGGTCACTACAGTTCCATTTTCAGCACCATCAAGTCGATGGAGTCCCGCCCCTGGATGGGCAGAGATGATTCAACCACCGACAGTGAGCTGGAAGCTCCATTGACTGGGAGCATTCGCTACCGATTTCCTTGGAGGCATCCACTCTATGCAGAAGAGTGGAGGCATGATGAGACATATCCGAAGAAAGCTATCACTCCGGCTACGGCCATGATCAGCTTGCTGAGGAGGTCCTGACGGTGTAAGCATCGGATCCGACCTTATCCTCAGCGGTACAATGATACACATAATATAATTGTCAGTCGTTCTGCCCACCCTGACACCGTCTTCAACACAGATCCATTCGAAGGAGTCATCCCTCGGAGTGGCCAAGACGATGATCAGAGCTGCTATTCCGACTACAGCTCGGATACAGAGAATGAATTTCGTTGCTTGTACCGTGGCCCCAGCCGGCGTCAACGGGAGAATCAGCGAGGCAACTGTTATGAAGATTTCCAAGACCAAGACTCACTCTCAGTCGAAGAACAGCACCATCCAGTTGCGTTTGAGTTCCCAGGAGTGGCAGATGCCGAACTCACAGGAGTGGCAGAGCCAAATCTTGCAGGAGTGTCGGTCAAGAACCTCATTCCTGATGGGCCAACACAGTGTATCTCGACAGTGCAGTTCATCCGAATGTCATGAACCAGGACATGATTGTCCGCAAGCGGCTATCTCCCAGACCAATCGAGATGGCCACCAATGTTGGAAGCACCAAGCTTACTCAAGAAGGAGACACACCTTACGGCAATGGTTATTCCAATCCAGGAGGCATCGCCAAATCAACGCTTTGTCTCTTGTTGTGGATGACTGCGTCAGGGCACAGGATGGATCCTATGTCCTCATGGACTCAAGAGTCGACGACGCCATCTACCACTACCGCCCAACTGGGATCCATACCAGGTATGGACGGACCGCCAAAGGTCTGTATGGCGTGTTGATTGAGCAAGACCTGCTGGATCACATGGCCCACTCAACC